CAGCTTTCCCACAGAATGCCTTGAACAATCTGAAGCTCATCAGGGAGCCATTGGACACAACACTTTGTGCCATGTTTCCATGACTTTGTGATCGTTTGCAAAATGAGCTTTATCATATTGCAGAGCATGGTCTTCGTCCCAGTTATGTGCAGCAGGAGGGGATCGCATGAAAGAAGAAAATAAAAAGCAAGGGCAGAGGAGGACTGCTATTATCCCCTATTTGTGAACGTGAGTGTAATTTGACTGACTTTATGCCATTTATTTTAAATGACCACGGTCTTTTCATTTGTCATTTTGGAGCTTATCCTTTTTCTTTTTGTCGTATCTTTTATGGGACAAATTCCAGCTCAATACGTTTTTTGGCAGCTACATACTTAATCTTGCTGACTCCTGTGGATACCAGCACTGCAATGTGTTTCAGACACTGTTAGAGCTGATGAATCAGAGACCGGTCTGTCATCTGTGCTGGGGACTGAAGGTGTTGAGCCCTTGCTGATCAGGCACCCATACCTCAAGCTGGGAAATTAAGAGGAGAATTTCAGTGAGCAGAGGAAAGTGCACTGTGACAGTGCTCTGTTCATCTGACCATGTAAGCTTGAATTAGTTCTTGCTAAAACACCCATAAAATGTTCACCCAGTTTATTGGATGAATGTTATGAAGATATAGCGGCATGCAAGCTGGCGACGGCACACTGCTATTGTGATGCAAGAAAGATAGTAAATATTTTTTAATGCATATCTAAATTGTGAACAGATAGTGAGATAAATAAATGCTGTAAAACTGTACCAACATCCTACATGAAACCAATTAGGTATGTTACTGCTGTTCCTCATTCTTTCCAAACACCGTAACGCAACAGACTACTATGAGATATGCCGACCTATTAGGTGCCTGCCAGTGGATAGGACCCTGTACTGCAGATGTCTTTGGAATGACTACACAAACCAGCACAAATGACGAGAACTCAAGTTTGACACCCTGGTATTAACAATGACCACAATTGGCTTTGTAACAGCTGAGCCAATTGCTACAGGTTTCAGGAACCACATCACTGATAGATCAGTTGTATTTCTGAACTGAGTTATCAAGTTCTGATAGTAGACCAGCCACCTGCACCCTCTTTATTTTAGGGGTAAAAAAAAAAAGAAAGGAAAAGGGAAAAAAACGAGCTAAGATTTACTTACAGCCAATTTCACAGGCTGCAATCAATTTACAGGTCACTAGGAGACTTTCAGGCAAAGGCACAACATATGTCTAACAGGATTCAAGTAAGAGGTTTAAGTAATAGGGAAGCTTATTTAAGGCACTAAAGTTCAGAAGGCAGAGCCTTTCCTAACCTACGTTACTGAACTTTTGAGAGCTTTTTGATTTTTTTTCCCACTCTAATGGTATTTCTCAGCTTGAAGGCTAGTGCTAAGCAACACAAAGGACAATCTCTGCTAGTTGCTAAGAGTTCCTATGCTTAGCTAAGTAAAGTGTTAAATAGCCTAACCATTTTACTCTGTCACCCATTTTTATACATCTCGCTGTGTTACAACTGAGGTAACCTGGAGTTTGTTCTGGTCACAGTCACACCCATGGCATTAACACAGAGGATGTTCTGCAACCTGATGTTCCCTACAGATGTCATTTGATAATATCATGAGTGAAATGATACTGAATTGAAATGAGATCAAATATTTTAAATGGAAGCTACTGCTTAGAGTGTTGATCTGAAGATTGGAATCAGAGTTTGTCCAGTGGTTCTGATGCTAAGCCAATACCCTGAAAGATAATGGTTTGAGCCTATTAGGAAGAATTCCTGGAGGGCAAAGCTGTGTGGTGCTGATGGTCCCATCAGGCTGCATGTAATGAAAGCCTCAATTTATTGTTTTTCTATGGTTTTCTATTCTTCTTGGCTGTCTGCTGATGGAACCTGATAAGCACCTTGTTACAAGAAATTGCTCATTTATCTAGTACATGCAGGACACCCCTATTCCATTCCTCTTGTGTACGGAGTAGGAACTGCTTTGCAGAGAGAAAACAGACAGGCTTTATTCAAGAGATCATTTACTCCCATGCATTGGCTGAGAGTGCGCTAAAGATCTCATTTTTTCCTGCAATCAAGCTTGTCAACTCTGCCCTTACTTTTCTTTCTCAGCAAGGAAAAAAAGAGGATTGCAGCCTTCCTCTCTTGCAGAACAGGAATACTGCATCTCGGAGCTCTATTGCTGAACCACAGAACCCTCTATGCCACCTGCCAAACTGATATTATTTGAAGTAATCCCCCTCAACTCCATTTTACAAAACTAATGGTGATTGCCATTTTCCCAGGGTTTCCTGTCTTGCTTTGAGGAAAGCACCTCAAAAGATGACAACACACCAACCGTGTCTCTGTCTTTCTTACTGAAGCAAACCATGAAGCCTTTGTCTACATCCCACAGCCTACCGAATACCCTCTGAGAACTGAGTGTAAGCCCACAGAGGATGGGCTGATCAGAGTTCTTATTTCCAATGATGCAGCTGCTGGCACAAGGACAGTTGTACCAGTGCATGATGGGCAGCACATGGGTAGGGAGGGACCGCGAGTCTGTGTGACACATGGCTGAGAAGTCGCAGCTTCTCTATTAGGATGCAAAAGTGCTTTTTGAAAGAATCTACTACATTTCTTGCAGCAGTTTACTTGGTTGTTGCTTTTTTTTGTCTTAATGTCTCATTCCTCCACATCTGGCTTACAGGGGATAGCACAATTGCACATTGCTTTCAGTATGTGCATGATACCTATGAGGAGAAGCTGTACTAAAAGTAGCCATTGTCTGTCTGAAACCCTACCCTGGATTTCTGTGTGGGAAAAGCTTCAGCATTCTGCTCTCTCCTGGCTGCTGGTGTCATCCCCAGATGGACCAAGATATAACTGAGACCCATAGAGGCTAAATGGTGCAGAAGAACATCTGCGCCTGTGCAGGCAGAGCCTGCTGGCTCTCATCTATCAGCTGGGGCACCCTTCTAGATCATTAAAACAGTAAAAAAGAGCTGGGGGAGGGTCATGCGACATTCCCTTCCATCAAGCCTCAGGCTTCTAGCCAGCAGAGCTATCCTTCCAAGGCAAAACACACATACCTTCTGGCTTTCTTCTGATGTTGACTCAGAATCCCTCTCTTTTGGCAGCTCCTTAGATATAGGAACAAAGTATTTATATTAGATATCATACAAGAATATCCTGTGGTATGTGACATAAGACCAACAGGATTTGAATTTAGTTGTGACAGAAATTACGAGCCATGCAGGAAGTGCAGCTCACAGAGACAGTGAAACGTGAAGGACTGAAAACCGCTTCCAGAAGAGACATGGAACTGAAATGCAGAATCTTTTCAGAATTCTAAAACATAACATAAACCAGCAGCAAAGCTGACAACTCCTAAACAAGGATTTCAAGACATAAGGAAGATAACAATTTAGAAAAGAAAAGCGAGCCCAGTGACTGTCACATTAATTGAACACAGTGTCAGGAAGGATTGCTTTGTGAAGTGTTGCTTCTTAAAGCATCACAAAGTCAGAACATCAAAACCAGTGATTGGCAGCAAAGGGGAAACAGAAACCACAAGTGATCAATAAGGCAACTGCTGGCTGGGGCGCTGACATGCCAGAGCACGAGGCCCTGCACGGAGCTCCAAGTGGCCACGTAACAGGACCGGGACTGAGCCATTGATCAAAAATATTTTTATTATTGCAAAGGTCTTGAAAGTACACCTTCTGGCATTTGAATCCCTTTAATAAAACGCTGCTATTATTTGCGCCTGCTTAGCGTGACTGTTAGCAGCCTCTGGAAGCCTTAAAGGCTAAACTCATTAGCTATTCATTACAGAAGAAGTTGGGATCTCCTGATACTGCCAATTAATTCAGGCATATTGTTAGTAGTGGAAAGTGCTGGTAAATAATAATTTTTTTTTTTTGCCCAAGCATTAATGACCTACTTACAGTGTGTTTCCACTGGATGTAGGTCTGCTCCAGCATCGGCACAGGATCCAAGCACTTTTCCAAGGCTTTGCCTTCCCTCCTGCCCATCACTCACCAGGACAGCTCGGGAGCTGGTGGGGGCTGATTTCTGTAACCACCCAGATGACCCTTCTTATGTTGTGTCACTGTCCTAGGAGGTGTTCCCACTGCCCAGCAATGGTTTGCTCACAAGCCTTGCCAGCTGGTTGTGCTTGGTCCTGTGCTGCTCTGGAGCTGCCGTGCCCATCATCACCTGCTGCAGAACAACAGCCCCAGCACCAAGCAGTTTTCTCACAAGGACAACGATGTAAGTAACACGTGCAGTCAGCACAAAACCACAGGCAGTATGTGGAGCTGTTCATGTTTTTTTTTTCAAAATTGGGCATTGACAGCACAACGTGCCTGTTTCAATGACAGCTCTTGGCTGTGGTGCAGCAAGTAGGTATGGATTCTAATACACGCCATGAGGAATACTTGCTGCTCTGTCTCTAGGATTTGAAACATCTGTCCCTCACTGCCGTCCCCAGGTGGGGATGAATGTGTTTCCCTTCTCCTCCACGGCTCCCAGCAGTAGGTGCAGGTGACCCCAGCAAACCAAGTGACGATGGCTGGGTGGAAGCCCCTGCTCCTGCAGGCAGACATCTGCTGATAGCTTGAACCAGGTCTGAGGAACGTCACACCCAGGTATAAAGCTCCAGTTTAGAATAGAGACAATCCCCTTTCCAAAAGGGATCTTGATGTCACAGCTGTCTGGGGGGAACAGTCATGGAGAGGAAAGGGAAGCGCTGATAGTCTGAGAGGCAGAAAGCTCTCTGATTGTCGGAGACAATTAAGAGGGCAGAAGCAATCTCCACTGTCAAGTGACAGAGACAGTTCCAGGCTGAGTACTCCTTGGAAATTTGAGACCTAATTAAAGCAGACCTTGGATCTCATCATTCTTCCTGCACACCAGGGACCATGAAATACTGACTTGCGCATCTGCTCTGTATGTGTATTTGATGCAAATAAGAAAGAAGTCTGTAAATACATCAAAATCCATACTTTATTTTATGTATAGCAATACAATTTACATATTAAATAACACTATAATAGAATGATTTGATATAGTTTTAAACATAACAAAAAGAAGATTCTTCAAGTTACAAAAAAACCCCAAACAAAAAAACCAAACCAAACCAAACCAAAAATCTCCCTCAAAATCCTCCCTCCCACCCTGTCCCAAAGCCAAACACCACATTTTTTTTTTTGTCTGAATGGATCAATGAGACAAACGTATCCAGTGACTGGCTAAGTCTAATTCCTATTGCACACACTGACAATGGAATAAAATAATAAAAAAAAAGAATCTAACCTTCACAATCACTGCCCCAAAGAAATGACGGGTGGAAATCTTTTTGGAGTGTGATGATGGTGTCTCACTACCTCGATACACAGAAGGTATGGATTCACATAGCCACCACAGAACTAGGAAGGAGGTGAAACTAGAAAAAAATTAGCTTTATATGAAAATATAAAATTCTATGATTATATACCATAGATACAAAGTTCCCAGAAGATGCTTATCCAAGCAACAAAATATTTACAGTTTTAATGGTTTCGCTATTTAAAAATGAAGGAAAAGAAAATAGGAGTACACGTGAATGCTTGGGTCTTTAGAAACAATGGCTGCTTGCTCATTTCAAATGTTCTAACACAACAAAGAGGTCACTACCCCAAATGTTGGAGAGCTGTGACATTGTATAAAATTGAGTATCTCCTCTTTTGGAGACATGTTTATTCTTAAAACTCAAGACTTTTTTCTTGAAATTAATTATCCTCTGTAGAAAATGCTTCCCTTTGCAAATAGTTAACAAAAACACTAAAAACAGTTTAACAGCTACAACAAAGTAGAGGCCAAATCTCTTCATTACAGTTCCTTCTCTTTCTCTATTTTTGCATTCCTTCTCCTTTGATAAGCAAAGCCAATGTTGTTAAAATTGTTAGAATGGCATCAAAGAGAAGAAAAGCAACGGGGTAACAATAAAAGCTGAATTATGTTTGTCAGAAAAAATAAAAAAAACAGAGAAAAGAGCAGCAATGCAGTGGATTAATAAATAGGCATTTTCCCTTCATATAAAAATTCACTGGCACCATTTGAGCACAAACGTCAGAACACCGGATTTGATACCGAAAAACATGAATTTGAGAAAGACTTAAATCTGTAAGACAACTACTTTTTATTATTATTTCTTAATTAAGTTGGTTTTGTTTTGCTGAGAATTAGTAGTATGTATCTTTGGTAGAATCAATATCTATATTTATAGCTTTTAAATAAAATATATCAGCTTAAAAAAAGGTTAAGAAGGCAGTTGTGCTGTTTCATAAAGAGTCTTCTCCTAGTGTTCCAAGACATCGCTCTGGGTTCAAGCAATTCAAGCAGTCAGAAATTGGAAAAACAACTGAAGCAAAGCAGATCCTGTCAATGATTCCACTAACCTTGAACAGACCCACGGTGCAGAAGACTGCACACAGGAAGGAGGATAAAGGTTTGGGATGTTTTTATCCCGCTCCTAAATTCATATTTGGGAACAGACACTGTGAAATAGTAAGGACAAATGCTGCGTTAAAGCGAAAGCTCTTCCCACCTTGGTCTTGCTGAAGAGCCAGCACTGCAGCCTGCACACCTGGGCAGTCCCACTGCCTCCCCCACACCTTCCTAGCAGAGCTGGGATAACCACGTACAGCAGCACCACTGGTTTTAGATGTTGTGATGATACTTTCCCTCTTGGAAAGCTTGGCTATAATGATGGGCTCAACTCACAGCTGTTTATGCCTTTCACATGGCCTGCAGGTGCACAGCCATGCAAGACACAAAGCAGTAATATTTTACAGATGTAGACACGCATGCACGCGCGTGGCGTGGCTGCTGAGGATCACATCTTACAGCACAGGGACAGACCTGGGCCCCCCTAACTTGCAGGCATGCACAATGGGAACTTTTGCTGCTTGAAAAGCATCCCAACTGAATGCCAAGTAGGGGTTACAGCATGGGGGCTGGCATTGCATAGTGATGGCCAGACAGGCACGTGAGAGCATCCTAGTAGAGCTCCATGCCTGTGAATGCTTGCTTGGTCCTTCTGCCAGCCTCCTCTAGTCCCATGGGAAGAGGTGCACGTCCATGGAAGAGAGCACAGCTGCATCTGCTTGCAGCAGAATGGGTTTGGCTCTTATGTGCTCCTAATCCCAACCTTCTTCCACTTCAAGCCTAATGCATCACTACCTTCTATTGACTATCTGACTGTTAACACAGTTCTTAACATACAACTTAATCCCCCTTAAGAAAAAAATCTATGGAGAAGTCATATAGCATCATTGTAAATTATTTCCCCGTGGACTAAGCCCCAAGTACTGCAGGTGTGGGAAAACGCCAATGCAAACACACGGATTTCCAAAGCAGCTACCAAAGTTCAACCCCACAGCCTTCTTTCACTGATTTTTAAAGCCTGTGTGAAGAGATTAAACCAAGGATATTCAGGCAGTGCGTCACGAACCACAGTTACCTTCCATCATGAAAAGTATTCAGCTAAGGGTACTGCACAAATGCAACTCTCCTGATGCCTTCAGTAATCTCTGCATCATTCTGCTCTGTCAGGCTTTGAATTCCTTCCTTCTCCCTACAGCTCTCCCTGGGTACTTGAACACTCAAGGCTGAACTGATCAAAACCATCCCCAGGGCTGGGATCACTCTGGGGTGTGGGGGTTCAGCAGCCACATCTCCAGCCTCCAGCCTGAGCTCCTACCATGCAGCACTGCCTCGCTCTGGTGCTGGCACATCCCAGGGCAAAGGGGAAGCAAACTACAATGCAGTGCATCCTTTTGAAAAGTTTTGCACAGTTTTTACTTGGACTAGCTGGTGCTGGACATGGGATTTCCTCAAGGAAACCGTGGATGTATCACACTGTTCAGCATTAGCAGTTATGTGGAGCACTTGTACTGAGGGATTCCACAGACTGGTGAGAAAAGGGTAACCATGCAAAAGGTTGCTGGTGAACTCTTAAATATTTTGGTGTGGGAATTAATCAAGTCTATCCATAGAAGGAAGCCTTTCTGTTAAAAATAAAAGGCCAGATGTTAGCACATACCAGTCTGTACAGCTCTCTGCTCCCACTGGGGCTGCATCACTCTGTACCTCAAGAGGTTCCAAACTCACAGACCTACTCTCCATAGAAATGTCACTTTCAGCTTCCTTCTGCATGGAACATCTATGGAACCTTCCCCTTAGCTAACCTTCCTCTTTGCCCTCCCCTCCAACACAAGAAGAGGATTTTGCCTTGCCATGTGTCTGTTCTAGCAAGCCCCAGCTGGCAGAAAGTTTTACACTGAAAAGAAAAACACACTGCAATATTTTTGACAAGTCCCAGAAATACAGTGCATGCTCTGTGCAGTTGGAATCGAAAAGAAATTAACGCCATATGTAAAGATGGTGCCTGTGATTGTATACCAAACATCAGGATGCCTGAAACAACATATTTCATTCTCAAGGCAGATTCCATAACCCCTCTCTGTTCGGCAGAGCTATGAAGGAAATGATCAGCTTTATCTCTGGAGAATTAAGTATGTGCTTACTTCTTCTGTTAAATAAAGATGAACGGTGTTGAATCGCAATGAAATGCAAAAGAAAAGGGAGCCAATGAGAATGTATACTTAGATGCTCCAAACAACAATTCAAATGATTTATATAATCTGGGAAAAACCAGTTCATTGGTGTGGGAGGGAAAACACAATAAACTAGGGTTGTGCTAAAGAATTAGTCTGGCAAAAAAAAGAGGGAGAATGTAACTTTATAGGTAGTTTTTTTTATTAGTTTGCTTCACCAGTAAATATGGATCAGTACTTTATGTTTTAGCACTAAAGTATGAAAATTACACACCTGTAAAAATGGCATCTAACAGTTATGAAATTAAGAAACGCCTGTCATCATGTAACATACCATTAGGTGTGAGGTCATATTCAAGAAATAGTAAGGAAATTAATGTGTTTAAAATATTGAATAGCTTAGTAATGTAAAATATTGCTACCTTCAATATATCTGAAAACAGGTCTGACCTGGGGCTGTAGGAGATTTCTTACTGCATCGGCTTTGATGAAAATCAAACCAAAATATTTTCCCATCGCAGGGCTGGCTAAAAGCAAAAACTGACATTTTTCTGCATAAATGGAGAAACTTTGAGATTGTAAAATCAAAACCTGTCACTGCGTCCCACACATGAATTGCATCTAATTCATAATTATATTGTAGGTGATTTTCTATTCCATGTGAAGCAAGTCTTAGGTCTGTGAGCGTACAAAACAGTAACGTGAAACAATACAGAAATAATTGTTTCTGCTCCACAAGGCCATTACACCTTCACTGTAGCTAATAATCACCTGCCACATTTTGTCAAGAAGGATGAACGCTGCTCATCCACTCCACTGGAATGCAGAATACCGTTAGCAAAGTTGTGACATGATAATTAAAACAATAAATATGGAATGAAGGGGTACAGTATCTGTTGTAGAAAGAATCCATCTGGCCTAGCATTCAAGATTGAAAATTCAAGGGTCACTGTAGTTTAGCAAAACTTCACTGCATTTAAACAAAACAGAAAAAGCATGTTTGTTGTCATGGAATGTCACATCAGGGCTTGTTTTGTATTAGAAGATTATAGGCAGTAACACTGATCATATAGTGCAAACTAGATAAAATTGCGTTTCACTGTGTGAAATAAACAGAGGTGCAAATGCTCAGTAGGATACCATTAAGACATAAAATGGCAAAAAATAAATATCAAAACTTTTATCAGTGTAAAAAAGTAATTGGGTTATTGTATAACCTAGAGTCTGGCAAAAAAGGCCTCAAAAAAGTTCGCTCAGTCTTCAGAAGTTCTACAAATTAAGTGCCTTTTCAGGTTTCCAATTAGACAAGAGACTCCATGCTTTCTGCGGGATCCGATTCATCACTGGCCATCACAGCACCGTTTTTGTCCAGTGTCATGGGACCATTTCCATTCTCCTTAGTGCTGACCAAGCTCAGCATTGCCTTGTAAAGAAACTGGTACTGCTCCTGGAAAAGAAAGACAAGTTACCTAAGTTACCTCAATGCTTTCATTGCATGCAGTTCATTGCATGAACGGCACTGATGTGTGGCATTTTAAGGAAAGTGATGGATATTTGTTACTAGAAGCATACATACATCACAGAAAGATACTTTGAGAGTGATTGCCTGTGTTAATCCAGCTTAACATTATCAGCCCAACATCCTAATTGTGAGCATTTTATATTATTGCTGATCTGCTGCCCACTGAAGAGAAGTCTTTCTGTTGACATTATAAGGAAACTGCAGGAGAAACAGAATAATGCAAAAACACCACTGTGTCATTACTAATTTCCCAGCAAGAAGGACATTTGTCCAGTTGCCCTGCTTTCCTCTTTATTCCATCAGCACGTTGATTTTAAACAGTAATGTACAATTGATGCCCATTATATGATTTCATATGATGAATTCAATGCATCGTTTCATTGATGATTGTTCCACATTCAGCTATTTCAAATACATAACCGTGTTAAATCAGTGGTGGGCTTAAATTCAAGAGAAGGCAGCAGAAGCTGTGGGGTTTGGTAATGCACACAATGTGCGTTTCAGTTCATGCTTGTGGTCTCAGATGAAAATCTCATAAACTCTCCATTTATATTCTATTTAGGGACTTACGATGTCTGTAAATACTCCGGGCCGCATAAGATTTATCATCTTTGCCACCTGGAAAACATCAACAGCATTTTCATTCTCCAGCTGCTGGGACAGAGTGGTAAGGGCACATAGCGTTCCCGCTGACACAGCTCCATACCTGAAAAACCACAGCAACGGGATAAGATACTCAGAAACACACCTGGGCACCCCGACACAGAGCCACGAACATGTTGACATGGACTTCATTTGATTACTGTAGTTCAACTTCATGTCTAGCAGATGATTGCTTTATACTGGGTTATTTTTGGTCATTTCAACAACAACAACAAAAAAGAAAAGTGATGGCACCCCATTCATCTCAGGATATCTGCACTACTCAGTATGAAGAACTGTATCAGCAGAAGGATGTGAGCCTTTTAAACATGCCCAGCTTGCAGGGTGTAACAGTGAAATCAGTTCTCACCTGCCACATGTACTGAAAGCATCCGCATTACAGCTGAGCGCATTTTAAGTACCTCAGTGGGAGCTCAAGCAAAACATAAATGATTAAAAGAAATGAGACCTGTCTGTTCCTCTGCATCTGATAATGAAATACAACTAACACGGATACGAGGTGCTCACAAGTAAGTGGGGCAGCACCTTGCAGTCTTCCTAAGGTCTGATTCCTAAGCGAAACGCAACACTCCCTAGTTGGGCACCCAAGAGACACTGCAGATCCTGGTAAGTTGAGCTGGGCTGTCACTAAGGAAGAACCTGAGCGATGCCTGTTTGTCAGGGGAAGGACTGTGTGTCCTCGACATAACTGGCCACACAGAAATCTTACTGCTGCTAAATCTGCGGTATGCTGGAGTCACACGTGCCTTTGTGGGGCAGGGGACAAAGGATCCTAAGCAGCAGGAGCCCATAATTGCTTCTGAGGAGCTGCAGCTGAACTCTGCTCTCTCATTACTCAGGAGATTGAAACTCTGTCCCAGTTTTGTGACTTTGAGGAAGTCGGTATCTAAACACCCTGACCTGCAAATGGGGACGTTGGTGCTGACTTACTCCATAAGCTGTTTGGAGAACTGTACATAAAAACTTAAATAATCAGCGAGAGCTGCAATGCCATCTGGTACAATAAGATTACCACTAGGATTTTTTTACAGCGCTCCTGTGGAAATCGAGACATATGCTGACTTAATTTCATATGATTTTTGGAAACTCAATTTGCCTGGAAATTGGAAACAGAAATCAGATCACAATAGACCTGCTATATCTGATGAAAAATCTATGGAAGAAGCAGGGCACCTGCAGGAACACTGGGCACAGGGGCCTTTGTGCGTGCCATGGGTGGAACACAACAAAATGCCTCTTGGGCCTAACGGCCTCATTTCCACTGGGGTTCATTGCCACCACCTCCCAGCAAGCTGAATGCTCAACGCTCTGAAAGTTATGCAACTTTCAGACTTCATGTAGTTGCTTGCACATGGGCAGTTACATTTAACGTTCTTGGCAGCAGTCTCCAGTTGGAATTTTAGAACTACTTTGAAATGTTGTTATCAAGTTCATCCCACCGTGTACTTCCTAAATACCACGTGCATTTAGCATCTGAAAATTCATATATTTGGAATTAATCCACAGTTGTAATTATTAGTGGATTATGTGATATAGTAGCTGCATGTAGTAAAGGGAAATTTTCATTTTCAGCTACATTCGCTTTGGCTCCGGTGAAAAGCAGGATCCAAATTATGTATTAGGCATAAAAATAAAATCATTGAATATGACAAATAAACCAAAAAAGCAATTTACAGAAAGAATGACTCAGCACTGCTAGAAATGAGATTCTGATTTTTTTCTTTAGGTCTAATATGAATACCCAAATCAATAATGGTTCTAATTTTGTAAAACATAATCTTAAGTACTGCAAGAGCAGCAAAACCTCACTTCAAACTACCCAAAGCATGAATATTAAAACTAGCCTGGAATTAATAAGTGCTGGCAAAAGCCAGCAGAGCTCACACCATGTGGCAGCAAGGCAGGAAACGGTGGGAGGAAAACTACTTCCTTCAGCCCAAGGCACCATTTGCAGGAACCTTTTGGGAAGAACTCTGATATGAAGGGAGAGCTCTTGCAGCAGCAGCAGGTCGGAGCACGCAACCACACAAAGCTGATCCCAGCACTGGAATGGCAGAGTGCACCAGTAACACTATTACACAAAAGGCAAAGATTTCTAAGACTTCCACTAACTCTGTCTGTCTGGTAGCAATGGCAAAAGGGCTGACAGACCCCAGGGCAGGGGCCTGAGGGCTAGCAGTCATTTACACTGCCTTTTTGTCCGCTCAAAGGAGAACCCAAGCGGTGTCAGAAATTGGGCTGCCTTGGGATTTTAATGGCAGAGTGACTCCTGAAAGCACTCTGCCCACCACGAAACAGCTTCTTCCAAAGACAGTCCTGTTAGACTCCGGCTCTGGCTTCACAGCAACAGTATTTTGCAGCTCCATAATGAATGCAAATCAATAATATGCAACGCAGTATTTAGCATCTTTTATAACTGGGCATTCAAGCATAGCTGGCAAGACAATGCTTACCATTACACTACAAAAGAGACAAGTGCTGGGACATGCTGGCCTTGTGTTAACGGGCTCCCTCCCACTTGGCACCATATGGCCCCTCGGGATGTTTTGGGAAAGAAGAAAGAAGGGAAAGAAAATTGCTCTCAGAAAACTTTAAAATCCTTGTGGCAAGATACTGCTGCTCATCCCGAGACACAGCCAAGCTGAGCCTGTTCTGTGTCTTACCTGCATGTTAAACCCGAGTTGTCAGACATGAGCTCAGGTCTGCTTTGAAATTGGTTTCCATAAGCCTCTACTGGGCACAAGGACTTTATCTGAACCTGGGCTCCGCTGGGTTCTGAAACCTGCTGTAGAATTTGTCTGGGACACTTCTATGTACAGAAGTATGCAAACCGCATACAAAGCAAACACAGCCTCGCTTTCTAAGTCCACCCAAGACAACAGCCAACACAAAAATTACAACAAACAAAATGTATTTGGCCTCAGTGCCAACTGAAACCTCATTCCTGGAAATGTAAATACCCTGATCCTGCTCCTTAGACACAAAACCCCATCCATTCCATGCAAGAATAGACATCAATCCTAACAAGTACTCTTCAGTAACTCTGCATATCGTTCACATAAATGAGAGAAAAGAGGTGACATACTCATCATGAACTATGGTGGGGCCATCCCTCGTTAAGGCCTCTTCCTTAATTACATTGATAAGTTCAAAGGTACTGCTTATGGGAGCATCTGGGTTTGGCCATTTAGGACACTGAAAGTGGCGGACTTCCAGAACGTAGTCATCCTGAAATGAAAAGATCAGCCCCAGCATTAGCTGCCTCAGTTTCACATTTACCCACTCCATGATGAAAGAATGAAAGAAGAAAGAGCCTCTCTACACACTGGGAAGGAATCTTCTTCCAAACTGTGTATATAAGAAGAGAGAAGATACATAACTGTAGCATCTCTGTACTGCTGAACATCCTAAAATAATGCAATTTTAATTGATAAAGATTTTGTTCTTTATTTCATGGCTTCCCTCTGAGTTCACAGGTCAAAATTCAAACAAGAGGAAACCAACCAGGGAATTTAAATTTAAAAGGGTTTGCCAAACCAATGTTGTGCAGCAAAATCTAGCTGCAATTCTGAAACCAAACTAGAGGCAGACTTTCAACTCAAAATAAACGTACTTGATAAATAATCCCCAGTAATTAACGCCCCACACAATTACACTGTGAATTTTATAAACAGAAACAGGACCTTGGTGTACTTTACAAAGAATAATTCAATCTACTTTTGTAATTACTGAATGACAAATGATGTTTTCACTTTCAAATGTGTCAAACACTAAATACTACAGCCTCGCTAGCTAAAGGGATCCACCTGGAAGTAGAAGATGTGGGAGGGAGGAGTCAATGAGAACAACTTTCCCCTGTGAGCAACAGGCATGCACGTGCATTTACAAGTACGCAGCTTTCAATACTGCTAGGGAACTTTTCTTCTGCCCTATTTAAATGACATGACTAGCATTTTGGAGAAAAGCCAAGACCCAAAATTGGAGGTTTATTTTACCTGGGTAGCTTCAAGGATAAAGTCATGGATGATAATTTGCTCTTCGTTAGAGAGGCACAGTCTGTCTTTGCTGATAAGGGTCACAGTAAAGGCCTCACAGTTCATAGATTCCTCACGACTTGGCCAGTACACAAACTCATCTTCTGCCTGGAAGAAAGGAAAAACACTACTGCAGACTTCCAGATATCTTGTGTGCAACTGAAAAATCCAGCAGATCAAAAAACTGGTTTGATACATAGAGATGATAAAGAGCTGACATTTAAAAGATATTTTTGTCTAAAACCAACTCACTATTAGTCTACTAGAAGTCATTAAGCTTGCAGGCCCCTCTTTTGTGAGTCCAAACAGGTAACACTTGCTTTTTAATTGGTTTCATGGGGAAATGGTTCTCTTACCTCGCTTCCACTTAACCTTTGTGTTATATTACCTCCTGCCTACACAGTTTTTCATAAAAGTTAGACACTTGTTTAGATAAAACTCATTGACCTTTACAATTAATTGCTTTCTATTTTGAATTTGTATCTATTGTGGTCTAAGCCAAAACTCAAGGATGTCAGTGGAAGGTCTTTGGATCAGATCTAGGTGGAAGACAGACAAGATACTTCATGTAGGGGTAGAATTTTTAAGGGTAGGGGAAAATACTGCCTTGGTCCCATCTCATCCCTTCCTGGAAGCCAATGTCACAAGCCAAACAATGAACCAAAGCACAGACACTACTGCCCTGTAGACAGCCTCCGTTCTGGGCTCACCAAAGATGAAAGCTGGCACCAGGCATCCTTGTAAGCAATACAGCTGAGTCCAGTGCTCTGCAGAGCCAGTCTACAGACTTTGAAAGACAAGATCAACCTCTTCGTTTCTACCTGACACTCTCTGTTTCATTAGTACTTTCTGATTCAATCACATTTCACTGAATGCTCTTTGCCCTGCAGTTGCACTGCACATGGGAAGCATATAGAATGCTGCCTCTTCAGTTTAATGATATCATATTTAGTATTGAGTATAATATTTATACTGCTGCCTCTCATGACTGCTATTTTTCAGCTGTAACAGAGGTGGTTTCTCTACCATTCTCAGCTACAATTGTCTGTTCACCTCAGTGATGTATGTATGAAAAAACCCAAACCTTTTAATTCTTCATTATTTGCAGTGTCCTCTTGAGACATGTTAGTAAACGTGGAAGCACTGATTAGCACTTCACTTGTGTCACCTGTTTCTCCCTCTCTGTCTCACAAATTAACATACACGTTCACTTTTGCTGACATTAAAATAACTTCTATAACCTTTCATAGCCTTAAGTCCTCATGGCCTTAGACTCCTGGAAACAAGCAACTTTTCTCATGTCTTTGTTTTGTATTTTTGCTCTTCTCAAAGCCCTTGCCCTAGTCTTTTGTAACAAGCTTAGGACAAAGTTTGAGGAGGTGACTTGCAAACTGGCTTCGCTTTCAAGGGAAAGTAGCTACAGCATGCAATGAAGTGACCCAGGGGAGGCTCAAGTTGGATGTGAAGAAAAATGTCTTCTTATAAAGAGTACTGAACAGGCTGCCCAGGGAGCTGGGAAGTCACCATCCCTGGAGGTGCTCAAGAAGGTGGTAGATGCTGCACTTAGTGACGTGGTTTAGTGGGCACAGTGGTGATGGGTTGATGGTTGGACTTGATGATCTTAGTGGTCTTTTCAAACCTTAATGATTCTGTGATTCTACAACCCTGGTGGCTGGCAGAGCTAAGTCACTGCTCTATGACACAGGCAAGGAGGTGCTTCACTCACCAGGCTCTGGTTGTCTGGCAGCATGACGATGATCTGTGCATTGTGATCCCAGATCATTCTCCAGAAATCTTTAGTTGTATGTGGCAGCGGATGTTGGGTTATGATGAACTCGTTACTCCTGTAGTAGCCCTTTTCCAGCAAAACAAACCACAATTACTTATTGCCTTCAATACTTCTGAAGCATTAATTTTATCTGTGGGGACACATGATGACCCTATTTCATTTTATTCCACAACATTTTTGCACAAACTGTAATTCTGTAGCGCCATTTCCAGCAAAGTCCCTGTTGTTTTCACTTATTCTAAATCCCAGTATTTGACTGTATCTCAGGAAAATACACATTCCATCTAAATGCATCTAGTATTTAATTTTCTTAAGCAACAATCTTTAATAAAACACAGTTAATAGCTTTACATTATGGGGAAGGTGTTAAAATCTCATTCGTTAATACACAGCCATTACATACAGAATTAAGACAATTACAGGCATCTGGTATTTAGCACCTCAGAATTGATTTTACTTTGTAATTAGGTGTTGGCTTCCTCACCATGATATAAGAGGCATTAATGTAATCAGTTCCCTTCATTCCAGGCAGTGGTGCCAAGCCCACTCTAGCACGCTCAGCTATAAGACAAAGATAAAAGAATATCAGAGTCTGGTCATGGCCCATTGCAGAAAGCAGGAATTTCTCAGACGTTAACAAACCAAACACTGCAGCTCCCATCTCCTGCAGGAGCAGGCCTGCACTTAACCGTGTTAAAGCACTGCCTGCTAACACAAAATATAAAAGAGAACGTTGCACAATATTCCCACAAGGACAAAGTAATTTTAGGAATCAAATTTTACTATAGCAAAGATTTTCACAGCAGGCTGAATTACCGAATAACAGTATATGCAGTGATAACAGGGGATTTCAGGTAACTTTTGACTGTAGCATTCTATTTGTTTCTAGCAGCACAAAAACCCAGGTGACTGATTTTGCTTTCCCTACCTCTCCATAGCACAGCCACCACTTATTCCTCCCATCCGGAAGGTGAGATAACCTTCTCAGATAAAACCTTTCCATCAAGGGCAAAAACCCAGAAGCAAGCAAATGTTCTTCAGCAGGTCTGCACTGCTCTGTGTTTGAGGGTTGGGTTCAACAACATCCTGAACCCAACTGACAGGCTCCTACAGCCAAACTGAAATCACTGCAGCGACATGACACAATCTGCGAGGTCATACAGTCTATTTCAGTCCATTCACCTTTGTTTATAATGTATATCCTGGCGATTTCTCTTTTTGTTACCAAACTTCATAACAAAACCTGTGCCCATATAGCAGTGCACTACTTTGAGTACTGCTTGCCCTGTATACCCTGTGCTCTGGGCAACGTGATGAGAATGACATCATGACTATGCTTGGTCTTAGCAAGTTCATGCTGCCAGGCAGCTGTGCACAGATTCCATATTAACGACTGTGAAACTGTGGCCCTCAAACCTGAGGAAGGCTTGCACACAGAAAACAAATGTACTACAAAGTACATCATAAAAACACTTGTGCCAATCACTCTGGGAGATCTCACCTGAGCTGAGAGCTGCATCAAAGTAATTACCACAGTATTCCATAGGTTTATCCTCCACCTAATTATTCAAATTCTTAAGCACTTCACATTAACATTTCACTTGGGCAGTATACCTAACTGACACCATAACTATTTTCTTTCATTCCATTTCCCCTATATTCAGCACCAGTGAGGCCGCACCTCGAATACTGTGTCCACTTTTGGGCCCCTCACTGCAAGAAAGATATTGAGGCCCTGGAACGTGTTCAAAGGAGGGCAACAAAGCTGGTGAGGGGTCTGGAACACAGGGCTGGTGAGGAGAGGCTGAAGGAGCTGGGAATGTTCAGCCTGGAGAAGAGGAGGCTCAGGGGGGACCTCATTGCTCTCTATAACTTCCTGAAGGGAGGTTGTAGTGAGCTGGGGGTCGGCCTCTTCTCTCGTGTCATCAGTGATAGGACCAGGGGGAATGGCTTCAAGCTACAGCAGGGGAGATTCAGGCTGGACATGAGGAAGTATTACTTTTCAGAAAGGGTGGTCAGGCACTGGAATGGATGCCCAGGGAGGTGGTGGAGTCACCGAGCCTGGGGGTGTTCAAGGAAAGGTTGGATGTTGTGTTGAGGGACATGGTTTAGTGGGAGCTATTGGGAATAGGTGAACGGTTGGACTGGGTGATCTTTTAGGTCTTTTCCAACCTTGGTGATTCTATGATTCTATGATTCTATGATTTCAGAGTAATTTTGCAAAGACAGGACAGCTTGGTCTATACAGATCACACTTGTTCTTCCTTGTGGCTACGCCTTTTCATGCGTAACACAGGAAGTGTTCACTGCAAGAAGTTATGCTAGGCGGTGATCAAACCAAAGGTGCGATCTTACATGGCACGACTGATGAGTTCCTGTTCTTTTCTTTGTTGCAGTCTTTCTGAGCACTGAAGCATTCCACATATTTTGCATTACACTGTGTAACCAGCTGAAAGAGAATAAAGTAGCAAGTCAGTCCTCACAGCACTCTACCTGAAGAGAGGTGGTTTCTTTGCCAACTCCCGGGAAGAAGCATCAGTACAAGAATACATCGTGTTGTTAAACTTGTTTAAAATACTCAAGATGCCAATGGAAATCATCTTTTCATACAATTTGTTTAATGGCTAAAAAGATCTCTACAGCTCTTAGCTTTGAAGCATCCTGAAAATGAAGTTCCATCAAAATGCATTTTCACAGAACAGTACGTTTAGTTATCTTTGAGAATATATTTCAAAGACTTGCAGATACGTTCAGTTGAGAGCAAGTCTCGAGGAACAAAAGCTAGCAAAATAAAACTATGAAAAAAAAAAAACCAACCACACAAACTTTCATGTTTTCTTTCAAAATGAAAGCAAGATAATTCCTCCAGAATACCTTCTTTTTCTGCCAGGCCTTTTGGGAACTCAGCACACCAGCAGCAGAGATTTGAGGCTAAGAGTTGTATTATCTGCTCTGCTAAATTCATTCCAGGCACAATGAAAAGTCAGAGAGGCAGATTTGTCTTTGAATATTCCCCCAGCGTATGGGGAACTCTCCCGGAGCAAGAAGGGTGAAGGTGGCTTTTCCATCTCTTGCACCAGCAACTCATTACTCAGGGTAATTTTACTCTCAGTCAGTTGTAAGTGAACTTCTGCACCAAGGCGTGAGCACGAGTTATTTTCTGCCAGCTCTAAGGCAGCAGCAGAAATCAGGGAAAAACGTAATAATCACTGCTTTCTTAGTCCCAGTTTCAAACCCATTTTAATCACGACAGCACTTCACTCATCTACGTACTGGCATTGTTACACTGGAAGTTCCAGAGTTTCTAAACACTTGTGCAGCTCCAGCAGAGTAAGTAAGCCATTTTGGAAAACGGCACCTCCAATTTGCAAATTTTGCCATAAGTCGTAAGAAAACATCTTTATCCTTATAACTTGATATTTTTTATAGCAGTGGAATAATTTTTTTCTAATAAAGTGTCTTTCTCTCCTGCGTGTGTGTGCACACTTCTGCGCTTGTTTCTTTGATGTAGTAATTATGCACCTGGAATGTCTTTCTGGATTGAGAGTACTGACATTTCTACAAGTGCATTCTGAGACCACCTTGTTCATTTTTTGAATAGCTTTTCACCTGTTAAAATTTAACAGCTTCAGTTCCTTATGTGCTTATTAAACTGAGTTTAGGTGTGAAAACTGACATCACGTATGATCATATGAAATGCAGTCCTACAAAAAAAAATTATAAATGCATTCAAAAAACGCAATCAGAAAATTGTAGGTTTCATATAGATCCAAGCAAATAATTTTACTTTGGCCACGATGAATGCAGCTATAATACAGTAGGGAAAAGCAGCAAGCACAGCTATTAGCAATGGAAAGGCATGTTGTGTTTCTTGATGTTAAAACATTTTAAATTATTTATCTACATCATGGAAATAGTGAGTTGCACTAAGAACCTCATCTCATTTCTTTCTCCATATATATATGCACAAGAATCACTGTTTTGAGTAAGACCTCCAGCCAAACTACCCACAGGCCCAGGAACACTCAGCTCCTTCAAAATGGGGAGACTATCAGCAGCATGCTTCAAAGCAATGCTCGTGTTCCTCTTTGCACCTTTGACTTCAAGAGCATTAGTGCTGATTCCCAGAAGCATGGCTGACTTGTTGCGCCCTGAACTTCCCAAGATGCTCTGCTGTGCTAATGAAGTGTTCAGGTTAGGTTCATTATCTATGACAACAAACAGGGAAGGCATGCCAAGCAACACAAAGTGGAGAAATTAGGTCCCTCTGGATGGGAGTGATAAGCCTTACCTTGAATTGTTTTTCTAATCGTGTCTTCCCTCCTATGCCAGGTATGAGGATGCTGTTAACATAACTATGCAGCTGGTTTGCAGATACTTCAGTCTCCTTCCCAAGGATGGCTTCCAACAAGGCATCATGAATAAAAATGTACTGCTCCTAGATAAACAAAGCATGTCAGGTAAGCACTTGGAATAAACTAAATGGCTGGCTTTAACTGAGGGGTAGAGCACTGAAGGAGGGTATGCAAAATAACCCACACATGCAAATATGGCCAAATGAAAAAAAAACCATTCACAAGTGTTAACACACACAGCTCTGAAAAAGTCATAAGCAAAATCTGAAGTTTCTGGTCTAGAAAAAGAGAGGCATTTCAGTGCAACAAATATCTGGTGATATATTCAATACTTACAGGGATGTAACTGAAAAATCTATTTGCTCTTTGACTGCAACATAAAAATGAATATGGCCATACACTGAGCCCCACTGCAATCTTTACCTCTGTCTGGACGAGGTAGTTGCGCTGTGTCCTGATATGTTTCAGGAAACCCAGGACATTAACTGTGCTTTTGTCTTTTATCTGTTGCAGCATACTGTCAATCACAATGTAGGTTCCAGTTCTGCCAACACCAGCACTACAAAAAACGTAAGAGAAACCCATGTAATACAGCCAAGCCACACTAAACACAACGGCAGAACAGAACTAAACAAATGCACCTATTCCTAGACTTTCAGTTCACTGCTAGCCTCAATCGTGAAAATTCCTGGACAAAATACTTTAGTTTTCTAGGAACTTCCTGGTTGCCAGTGGAGGTGATCCTGCCCTCCCCGTGTGCTGAATGGGCAGGAAATCAGGCTTCAGAACCAGGAATTGCACAGCCTCATCAGTGCAATGCTCAGCAGCTCAGCATCATGCTGCTAATGCAACTAAGATTTTTTGATTAGAGCACGCTTCAGATGTAGGCTAAGCCAACTCACGTCTCCCTGCATCCATAGGGCAGGCACACTGCTGTCTTAATAATGTACAGTGCTTGCCTTCACAGGCATTTAAAAGAGCACACACTGCAAAATAGGTATATTGACCATCAAGCATTTGATCACATCTATTTAGATCAGATATCATGGGGCAATTTTTCACTGAGAGGTTGATGAGGTGCTTGAACAGGCTGCCCAAAGAGCCATGCGTGCCCCATCCCTGGAAGTGGAGTCCAGGCTGGAAGGGGCCCTGTACAGCCTGAGCTGGTGGCTGGCGACCAGCCCACGGCATCAGGTTGGAATTCAATGATCTCTGAGGGCCCTTCCAACCCCAGCCGTTCTATGATTCTGTGATCCTTCATACCTGCAGTGCACAACCACTGGTCCCATGTCCGGGGTTCTGGCTGCAGATGATCTCCTAACGAAGGTCAGCACAGGAAGGGCATACTCTGGCACACCCATGTCAGGCCACTGAGTGTAGTGATACTGAATAACCGTTCTCTCGTTCTGGCGCCCTTTTGGGTTTCCTTTCTGACCCTGCATGCAAATTGTAAGCAGAAAGAAGAGAAAGATCAGGAAAGAGAAGCAAAGAATCCTTCAGTTTTACTTCAATTCCTCCATTTGGTCCTATTAGCTTGCCCAGATGAAAATGTGTCGGACTATGACAAAAAGAATCTCCTGCAGCTCTGCTTTTGTTTGGTGGAGACACAGTGCAAGGAAAAGATGTACAGGAAGAGGTAATGACAGCAGCAGCTCTGATACCAAGGTGGTAACAAACTCGAGAGAAAGAAATACAGGTTAAACCTATCACCAGATTCCTTGTAATCCTGTTTTTGCTTACTCATTTCCCATCCACTGCTGCTTCAAGTTGCCTACACAACAGCTGAATTTTGCTCCTGTGTGGCTTGCATCCCGCACAAGCTAGAAGGCATCTGGATGAGAACAGTGAAGGCTTCACCCACCTTTTTCATCTTTGTGTTCCTGACCGTGAAGCGGCGCACAGTGTAGCAGGCATGAATGTTTGTGCTCTTCAGCGTGACTATTATGTTGCCATACTCCTCGCTATTCTCTGACGGCCAGTACTGATCGCATTTTCTCTGAACAAAGACATAGTTGGATGGGTTGGCTGAAGGTTTGAGCTGCTTCTTTGTATTTGTGGTTAGAGCTTTTTTAAAAAGTAAAATCATGGCTAGCTATGTAACCCTCAGTTATTTAGGTACATTTTAGACATCAGCATGTATCATCCCAGACCATTTAAAACAAATTCTGCCCACGTGATTTGGAGAGATGGTAAGGAGTATTTGCTAACAAACTAGAAAATCTCTTACTCTTCCTTTTTCAACAAGGTTTGTGATCATGACAATGATTCCAGTATTTTGTTCCCAAATCATCCTCCAGAAATCTTCAAAGGTAGACTTTAAAGGTCCCTGGGTAGCAATGTAGGCTTTTGCTTTGTTGTAACCCTTCAAAGAAAACCATAATGCTAAGTGAGATGAAAGCAGTATCATGGCAGAGAAATTAATAATTTAAAGGTAACAAAGAAAGGTGCCTTTCTCATTCAGAATAGCGAGGAATTTGTAGCAAAACTCTTACGTGAAGCTGGAAAACATGAACATTTCACGAGTAGCAATGCTTCCTCATTGGGGAAGGATTTAGAGAAGAAAAAATAATTCAAATAACTTACATCAACGTAATTAGCATTAATGTAGTCACTGTGCTTAGAATCTTTTCCTGGTAAAGGCCTCAGCTTCACCCTACTGTGATCATCTGCAGGACAAAGAACAGAACAAGAAGCATTAAGGAAATATGATGCAGAATTGCAAGTAAACATCCTAATTCCCATGTATTGGAGTAGCCCTTATTAATTCCTTGAAGTAACTGGCTTTGGATTGAAGTGGAATGTGACTGTTCTCGGCCATCTGATCATGGTAGCAGTCACTCAGCTCTGCTGGCTCAAGGAGCAGAGCAAATGTCCCCACTCCTTCACCACCCTCAACACACTGAGAAGACAGACTTTGGATCACGCTGTTGCACTCTTTAGCTCTTGTTCTTCTTGCACTCCAATACCTGGCTTCTTGCTTAAATCAGAAAAAAAATGGCAGCCCTTCTGCTTTTGAGCAGCTGTGTGGGGCTGGGAGGTGCTTCCAACACATGCAGAAATGAGACATAGGCTAACTTCAAGAAGGAAACATCTGGCTTTATTTGCCTTCCAACATATGAATGGAGAAAGAGGTTTCTCCTGGTGCCATCTGTAGTACTGAAGTTCCTGCTTCAGTTCTCTAAGGGTGCTTCTCTCAGTGCTTAGAGGGACCAGACACCTCTGTCTAAAATCACAGCTGGGACAATTGCAAAGGATCTCCTTGCACAAGGACATGCAGCGAGAGTGCTACTGGTGCTCAGCCTGTACCTCAACTGATTCTAAGCATGGGATACACCCATTTAATCCCTATGCCATGAAAAACATTCAAGATTTACTGCAACATTTATAAATATAGGAACTTAATGTCGTTGCTCTCCATTTTCATTCCTAAACCACAGTAACTGCTGCATCTGCCATTTGTTCCACATCTGAGAAAAGTTACCGCATTTACACTCCAGCCCTGTACAAATCTGCACTCCAGAGCTGTGTCCAGATTTGCAGTTCTCCGAGGAATACAGGCAAAGCCAGCACTGTGCTACAAAGATCACAGCTTGTCCAAGTCATACACACAGTTGAAGCAGGTTGAAATACAGCAGATGTACTCTGTAAGATTTAGCATCTTTGGGAATACAAAGGAATCCCAGGGATCATCAGTAAAACTTGCTGCTCCACCATGCACTTCCCTTAGGCCAGTTTTCAGATGTTTGCAAGCAGAAGAGCTCTGATCATCAATTTATCCCAGTTTTTCCTCCACAAAGTTTCATAGTAAACTGATAACTTCTAAACCTACACTTGGACCATCAAACTGCAAAATACTTTAAAACAAAAGCTGGAGTGAAATCATAGCCTCAGAGAAGCAAGAATGTCCACTGCCGTTAGAAGGAAAACGCCCTCCCAGCTGCAATTCCACATATTTATTAGTTGTTGTGGAACAATGTAACTTCAGACCACACAGACACGTTGTGAGAGTGCCTTTCCTGGCTGATTAAACATGCTTGCAGTTGTGCTTACTTACACGCTAGGATGTTGATGTATCTGTTCTTGTGCTTGTTGTCAGGGTGGTTGGAGTGCTCTGCAGTGATGTTCATGTCGGCCGTACAGCGCTGCACTTCCTAGGCATAAAATTATTCAAACAGAAAATGTGTCAGCACGAAGAATGAAGTTTTATCTCCTTCTGCAACAGCTCACAGAAACCATGTTTAAAGTACCAATATCTTACTCGCTGGATTAAACACAGTCATTCAGTATTGTGCTGTAGGACATGGTCTGCTTAAACTAAGAAGGCATTCGCTGCTCCCTGATGCCCTTCTCTCCACAGACCTGTGACAGATGCAGTCTGGGCACTGCAGTAGTCTACTGTGCCCCTCTGACCAGCAGTCCATCCATCTTCTGGACTGCATCTCCTGATGCCCCACTCTCTCCCCTCTTCAGCAGACAGAGTGCTTTCAAAGGCAGGAACGGCCCCAGTGTAGGCTACGAAATTAAACATCAAAACCATTTCAACAGAAGACTTTTGACTGCAGGACAACTTATTTGCTTATAACCTCTCCAAACAGGGTTTCTGACATTTCAGTTTGGCATTGACCTTTTGCTAGTTCTCTGAAGAGATGCCTTTTATAAAGTATAAATAAAATAGATTGCTGAAGGTAGCAGCTAGTGCTTTAAATACCACTGCTTGGACAGTGATTAACAGCCAACAATACAGTGAAAAAGATAAAAGGTTGTATCCACGTATATATTCTGGAGCTACGTCTATTCAGTCATTTACAAAGCAGGATGTGTTTGGGCTTGCAAAGTGCTCATGAAGCTAGAAATGCAGACACCAGCCTAGTTAGGTCAGATACCTAATTCCAATTGACTTTTCAGCTCTTCACCTGATCCTTCCTCACCTCACTGAAGAGCAGAACGCAGAGCTACTGAAATGGGGCAGTGCTCCATCAGTTCTTTGCCCTTTCAGAAGAGCAGCTATTTCCCTCGGCCAGGCTGCCCTACAGTTACACCCATCAGGACTGCCCTGCAAACCAAATCACTGCAATCCTCCAACTCACATATTATACCACTTCTGAGTCAGATTTTCTTCTTTTACAACCTTCCTGACAAAGCAAACCCCCTTTTCATCATTAGCTTAAATATTTGCAGTTTTAAAGCACATTTTTGAAAAACATATCAATGTTTGTAATTAACAAAATGGTGGAAGAAGCTAGTTATTCAAATCACTGCCAAGTCCCAGAAATCTCACCAAATAGAATCCATTTCCCCAAGGATGGATGGGGAAGCACCGAATTACTCTGTACTACGGGCTTTAAAAACAACAGCATAGAACCTGCCTAAGAGAGAAAGTCATTAGGAGCTCACAGCTGCTACAAAGATCACAAGCTAAGTGACAGAGAAAAATTATCAAGAGAAATGCTATACAAACAGCAGATGTATCAGAGTTCAGCATTATGCAGACGTTTCACAAAGGAGATGCACTGCAGTTTTCATATCTTCCTCAACATTTACATTTTGAAAGTGCCAAGTATACTAAAACCTTGAGCATTTTACAGCTTTTATGGCCACACAACACTCCCAAATAACAATCGCTTTTTTCTCCACAGGGAGAAATACACTACATTCACATTCAAGGAGATGAGCTGAGCAAAGACAAAGAAGAATCAGACAAAACTCTCAGCTGGTCCTAATAGAATTTTCATAGTTCCATTTCTAGCACAGAAGAAAACCCACACTACAGTGTGTGCTTCCCCTGATGCTGTTTGTCAGCTCCAGTAAACAGGTGACTTCTGCTTATACACCAGGCAGGATCAGTGCAGACTCACTCACAAATGGCAAAGCAGCATCACTTCCCTCTTGCTTTCATTTAATGACACTTTCTTTTACCTTCTATTTATTTATTTTTCTACATGTTGAAATCATGTAACATCCTTGCTGTGCTGCTTGAGGTCACCCCTAAAAAATGCTCCTCCATTTCTGAAAAGCCTGACTTCAAACACATATCGCTACAAAACTCTCTTCAGACGTTATTAGCATTGAAATATTTATGCCACATGCAGTGCAGATGAATCCAGTAAGGTTCTGTGGAGAATACTCTCAAAAGTTAGAGAATTTAATAGGGAATTACATCCCTGCTAAGGAATTTTCTCTGACAGTTTAAATACTACATAGTAAATGCATCCCTTTCTATTAAATTCTATAGGATTCTTCCATAAGGGAATTGTTGGTAAGGTTAATCACTTTAATTAACCTTTTTATGTTGATGCCGACTGTTTTCTCAGCTGTACGTGTTCCCAGCTGGCCAATACAAAGTTAATAGAAGAGGAAGATTAAGGGAAGATGGTGAAAAACACAGCAGTGGAAAAGAAGGTCTTATGCTGTGAGAGCTGATCCTCTGAAAATGCCTTTTCTTAACACTGAACGTTTTAAATGAATTTTAATACTCCGGCAGACTGCTACAATGGTGGATTCCTACCCTGCACCCTGCAGAAAAACAGCAAAAGGAGGCCGTCCAAGAAAAGCCTCCCCTTGCCAATGCGCCTCCTTTTTCCTTTTGCCTTGTCTTTTGTAACATCAGTGTAGAACAATAAAAGGCCATTTCAAGTTCAGCCTGCCTGCTCCAGTCCACAACGCAAAGAAGGCACTGGGGCACTGCAGCTGGCAGACAAGGGGCCAGAGGACAGACGACGTCCTCCAGCTTCCTGCTGGCTGGCAAGTCATTCATCTGCATGTGAGGCATCCCCACGTTGGATCACTGGTACAGCCTAAGTTTGCAGGCAAACGGCCAGGTCAGGTCTGATCCCAGGCTGCTCACTGCAGCCTTAACAAACTCTGCAATTAGCACTTAACTGCTTTTAGCACCTCAGAGCAGAACACTGCCCCTATCACTACTGCATTATTCACCATCTCATATCAAAGGAACTTTTCAGCTCTGGGCTCTTTTCTTCAGTTTCCTCAATCCTGCGTGGTCTCTTCTAGTGATTGTAAAGGTGCGCTGCTGCTCCTCGTGTTTAACTCTGCAGAACACATTACTGTCCAAAGATAAATAGATAAAGGATCTCATTCTGTCCTTTCAACTTATCATTGACAACCCAAGAAACCAAGTGCATCGTTTCAGTTGACTGTTAGTTACTGTAAAAAGTGTTCTAGTCTACGCTATTATGGCTAATTTAGCTTTTAATTATATTGTCCATGCTAATGCTAATTGGAATTTGATACACCCAGGTTTAACGACCCATTTTCATTGCCTTTCTGAAACAAGTTAAAGATTAGTTTCTCCTAAACTTCAAAGAATTTCCATTTAAGTGTAAAATCAAACAGCTCCAGCATCTTGCTGGCAATACAAGGCTCTGAGCAGGAATTTTTGCTACAGTGACTGAGCAGGAACTCGGTCTCTTGATTTGGCCTTATGCAGTGCTGCTGTTGTTTCCCATTAGTTCATTAAGGAGATGTCCTAGGAGGAGCTGAACTGTAAAAGCCTATGAATAGCAATGAGCAGGAGTCATGAACAAAGGAAGGATCCTAATCCAAAGGGCTAAATTAGAGAAGATCCATCGCTCCGTTTTGATATAATTGTGGTATTTTTCAGTACCAAAGCAGTTCGTTCATCCGCCTTTAAGATCATTTTTGATCTATTATTTTAATCCCAAATTAGAGAGTTCTCTGGTAGTGCTCTTGCTGTTTCTTTTATCACAGCAAACATGGCACACCAATAGAGACAGCAAATAGCATCTGAAGATCTCCCACAGGAGCAGTGTAGATTTTTGCAGTAATTTAGCACTAGTAGAAACTCTCTGATGGCACTTAAAGAGAGAGGTGAGCTGGGGACAGCCTAGACAGAAGGGGAAAACAAATAAACCAAAAGGACTGAACACAGGAATAACAGTGGAGGAATCCTGAATAAAGAGTTAAAAATTGATGCAAGTGTGAGCAAGTTGGGACCACTGATGAGGCGTGCATGCTGCTGGGCTGCATACCCAGTGCTGCCTGCAGATGTGAGAGCAGCGGATGGTGGAGCATCTGCTCACTGCATCCTGCCCTTCAGTGTGTATGGAGGTGGGAATATGACCAAAATCTCACACTCCTCGTGTGCAGCTATGGTTCCTCTGAGTGGGGCTTCTAGGCACAGACTTTTGAGAATATCATTAGTGACAGCCAGCCAGGAGGTATTTAAGAACTATGTGGATGTGGCACTAAGGGACTTGGTTTGGTGATGTGAATGGTAGGTCAGGTTGATGGTTGGACTTAATGATCTTAAAGGTCTTTTTCAACCCAAATGATTGTACGGTATCTGAATTTCTTTTGCTGTTTCTCTTCAACTTTATCTCTTAATTCATGCCACCTTGTTGGTCTGACAGTAAGCTAGACTCCAGGAAGGCCCTCCTCTGCAGGGATCCTTCATCCTCCAGCTGCACAGTGCTGCTTCCCTTTGCTTTCACTGCAGCAATGCACAGCCTGAGAATACCCTTAATTATGGCAGTTTTAGGTCAAGTTTCTAAAACATTTCCCACTGCAGCAATGTTTGCTAGCAGCACGCTTTTGAAATGGCATCTTTCTAGTGCCAAATTCCTTGGTGTAGATACTGTAATAAGTATGGGTCTGGTGTACGCTGTGTCTAATCTGTAAAGGACGCCAGTATAACTACACAGTATTTTTAGTGTCTCAAGAAATGTGCAAAGCACAGCATTATCTCAGTCTTCAATGCAGCCCTTCACAAGAGAATAACATTCCGAGGTCGCTGGTTAAAGAGAGCTTGTGACCCCTGCCCCGAGTCGCAACAACCATGAGAATAACGCCAGCAAATCCCTGCCCCATCACTGAAGATATGGATTCGTTATTTTCTTACTCTTTGAGACGTTTAGAAGAAGGTGCCGCTGGAGAATAAAGATATTTTCAATTTATGTGATGAGGGAGCTAGACAGCCTGCCTCCGAGTTCAGCGAGCCTGTTCAGACTCCAAATTGGCAATGATTCACTGCACTCGGACAGCCACAGGCAGGAGAGAGGTCTGCAGAGACGGCACTCACCCGCTCTAATCGCTCCTGCAGCAGTGCTGACCGACCCACTCAGAATTTGGGGGGAGGTAAATAAAATCATCGGATCTCAGAAATCCAAATAGGACATTATAATACACAAATTCACAGTTAGCTTTGGGGATGGAGGGTGATTTCTTGGCTTAATGCTCCATTCTTAGAGTGAAAGGACATGACTATGAGAAGAAATTACTGTGCTCTTCCAGAAACAGGCCAGGAGGAGGGAGTGAAAAGCTTTACTGTGGGTGGTGGCACTTCACACTCTTTCTGATACAAGAATTTGGAGGGCACATGCCCTACGTAATCAGACTGAGTATCAGGGGGACAGAAGATGGCGAATGTGACACCAGTTTTGCGAAAGAGAATCAGAAGGGATTTCAGGCACTACAGCCCACTAAGTCTGACTGGTCTATGGGGAAAACTGCTAGACACTATAATAAATAGCAGAGTTAGTGAGTGCCTCTAACACACCGTGGAGAGGTCCCTGAGGAAGCCCATAGGCAAGGACAGTCTAGAAGAGAGTCACATATATGGATTTCTGAAATGTTTTTGAAAAGGCCTCTCAGAAAACATTACTCAAAAAACTGATCTGTTGAGGAGCAAAAGGAAAATTCCTTTTGCATATGAACAGGTATTTACCACATGGGAATTGTCAGTGTTCACATTTCTCCAGTGGGACATCATGGGGACCTAATCTATTCATAAATGGACCGCAAAGGAGACAAAGTGTGTTTATAATACAAAATTATTCAGGATAATTTAAAAAAAAAAAAAAAAAGCTGTTTGCCAAGGGAAGCAGAATGATCTCCCAGTATGAAGTGGCTGAATGATAAAATGGCAAATGAAATTCAATGTTGATAAATGCAAAGTGATGTACTTGAGAAAAACAACCCTAACTATATATACACACTGACAGCTTCTCAATTTGCTATTGCCATTCAGTGACGAGACCTTGGGGTCACAGCTGATAGTTTTCTAGAGGTGTCAGCTGAGTGCTCAATAGTTGTTAAAAAACAAATAGTATGTTAGGAAGGATGAAAGTAATAGAAAACCAAAGAGAAAACATCACTGTGCTCCTGCACAACTCTGCAGTAAATCCACTCATTACACGCTGTGCACAGTTTCGGTCTCCCCACCTCAGAAAGGATAAGGCAGAGGAAGAAAAAAGGTGTCACCCTAAGTGTACAATGGCTTCCTCAAACAACAGATCAAATACTTCAGATTTCAAAAATGTTGATTAAGGAAGGGATAATATCATACACAGAAGCACAGAGAATCATACGAAGCGTTTAAATGAAAAAGGATGTACTTTGTAATGCAAAAACCAGGAGACACAGAGGTGTTATCAGGCATGAGTTAAAACAAAACGAAATCCTTTCTAGAGAAACAAATTATAGAATTCACTACTGTGGGAAGTGGGGCATTAGAGCTTTTAGGTACTAAGAGTCTACCAGGGTTTGAGAAGCAGCCAGAAATTTATGGAAGAAAAGTCTGTAAACGTCTATTAAACAGCAATGCCAAGAAAATTCCTGGCTACACCTCTCAGTCTCTCCTCAGTCTTGTTCCAGTGCACACAGGGAAAGAGGCACCAAACCCTGCCCCAGTGCTGCCCAGTGAAAACATGGCATCTCACCCCAGATGCCACGGCAAAAAGGGCTGGTGCTGCCTGGGAACAAGCCAAAAAAATTCCTTGAGCTTTTCTCAGCTTTAAGTCAAACAAATCCCAAGCTGAAATACAAAGAGTTACATCAGAAACCAGCACTGATAATGCAGGAGTGTGGACTTGAGTTCAAAAAGTTAACGTTGCTCAATATCAAATTGGGTGATGTCTAGCTTATATCAAAAACTGAAAATTCATGGGACTCAAAGGAAATCTCAGCAGTTCTGTACATAGAGGAAAGCCCAGCTATCACCAGACAAGAAAGCTGGGTACCTGCACTGCAGTTACCCACAGGGAATAAGGAATCAGTTTGGATGTACTTTCCATCACAGGATTTGTGAGTTCCCAGTCCTTTTTTCCTCTGCACATCTAAGCACATTCAGGAAAGATCTTGCTGTAATTACACTCGTTTTAAGAGGACAGAGGTAGCATTCATAAAATTTACTTTCACAGGCACCTTCTTCATTTAAAAATGAACTGCACACAACACACAGCTGCCAAAAGAACAGGCAGAGATTCACACCAAAAAGCAGGCATCATTTCACCCACAGGGTCTGTGAACAATTCTGGCTTCACTCTTCCATCCCATCTCTGTGAACTGTAAGGCAGAAAATGAGGCCCCCGGGGTGTCCGCAGGGCAGAACATAAGCAATGCAAGGGAGCTGGGAGGTTGATCCCAACCAGTGACCTTCTTGTTCCTACTCCCTCTCTTCACTGTACAAGATTTTGTTTAGTCTTTAGGAGGCAGAGACCACAGCGACACAGAACACACAACTGATGCAGCTATGCTGACTTCAAAGGAGGTTATCTAAATTTTGAGCCAGTGGGGAGAACAGAATTCGTGTGCAGTGCAGCTGGAGAGTTTAAGTTCCTGCTGAGGGGACCCTGCGCTCCCAGGAACAGGACTAATTGGCTCCAGCCATGTCTCCTGACTGGCAGCTATGGTGTGGCACCCGCAGCCGGGGGCTCTGGGAGAAAGGGAGAAATAGGGCTATTAGAGCAGTGTTTTCCTTCCCTAAAACATGGACGTAAGGTGTCCAACATTTGTTAATAGCAGTGATTTTGTGACAGCTGAAGCAAAGCCAGCTTAAAGCCAGACCAAGTTTACAAATGTGTTGGTGATTATTTTGAATAATTAAATGGTGTAAAACCCAGCTGTGATGAATAGCACTGGGGTCGCAATTCATAAATAATTGAGAAGAGTGAGTTGCATTTGATCACCCTGATCAAATTCTACTCTCTGGAGAATAAATGTTTGTCCTGAATACCATCAACATTGTTAAATGCCTCAATATTCCTGCTCAGCCATCCAGCCAGCAGTCAATTGAACTAAATCACTTTAACACCTTACACATTTGCCTTCCTCATGAATACAAAATGTTTCTAACTTGCACAATGGTTTTTGGGCATCATACAAAGCAGCCACTCTTTATAGACAGTAAACAAACAGCAACGATAAATGTTTTAAATGATCCCATTAAAAACAATTCCCACATACAGTCTTGTCTTTACTGCAGTAAGTAAAGAAGCTGTAGATATTAGGCCACCTATTTTGTTTCATTGCCTTGTTTGTAAGCAGAGCTGCCTGTGTAATTCACATGCTTTGCACGAACACACCTCTTTTTGCTGATGGGGAAGCCAGTATCCACAGCTTCAATGCAATTTCCTGGGGCTCCTCCTGTTTCTCTACACTTCTCAAAGTTCAGCTGTGATTGTGATTAGACTGAATGCAAGACATGTCTAAAAACTAGGCAGAGAATACTGAATTCTTAGCATCCGACTGCAGTCCATCCTCATGCTATGTGATGTTTACCATATTTTGGCAGTATGGGTTTGGTAACCCAGTCAGTGCAAATTGCTTTCATTTCTTTGGAATTACTTCCAATTTATAGCATATTTATAGGTCATAATCTGTCCTAAACAGCTAGTAAGATGCAAATTTTAAAATAGTTAACATTAAGTGAACACTCACAAACAAGCCTTAATCTTTTACTGGAACAAAATAACCAATTGCTCCAATAGCAATGGAGGAAGGACTCCAGGAACCGACAGTGCAAACAGAAGGAACAGCCACTGTTTGGGTTTTTTCACTGAAGACCAAAAACTGTTATTCTCTCTCACAGTGAGCATTGTTCTGCTCATTTTGGGCAAAGGCTAAGTATCTTATTAGCACGACTTGAAAAAACAAATTCTGGGCCAACAGGACTAAAATCAGCTGCAGATTATAAGAGAAATATGGAGTTGAAAATAACTGCTTGCATCTTCATGTTGCAGGCATATAACAAAAACCAAGTAAGGTTCCCCTTAAAGGCACTAACTGTAATAGAAGCCCGCCTCAGACTCTTGCTCTGTGGCGCGGAGAAGCCTTCTGTAAACATCCAGTCCCAGACTGTTCATACCTGGTGGCAAATTGGTCTTTCTCTCTTTCTCCTGATGCATTTGAGTACTGCATTTACCTGACACGACAGCATCACACAGATGTCACACAGCCTCTTACTATTAATACGCAATTAACTTTAGGAAAACAACATTTTACTAGAGGATCATTAAATCATACCTCAAAGTCTTCTGAGAACCCATGCTGGTTATTAGAATACAGCTCACTGATGTGTTTAACGAACTGCTTGACTGGAATTGCTTCCATATCATCTGTAGAAAGAAAGAGACACTCAGGGTTGCCATTTGTCTCATACGTAAAATTTCAAGATCCACTCTCAGCTGCAGACTTGGGAAATAAAGTACCGAGTGCTAACACACGTAGATCTGAGTTCCCAGCGGTAGAGCTAGTTCAATATGCAGTAATAAGAAAGCTTGATAAATCTGGACAATTTTGATGTACATTCATATTATATTTCTAATTCTAAGCACTGCAAATATGAATATTGAGTCTATTCCCTGTGAATCTTATTTAAAAAGACCAATTGAAATTCAAGCATTGTTTAGTTCTTGTATGCAGTTTGAAGGTAGCTGTGAAGGGAATGATGAGATCTTCTCTCCTTCCACGCTGTATAAAAAGAACAGTGTAGACCCAAAATAGGAAAGCATAGATCATAATTGCACCCAGTAAGCTTTTATCAGACTGAGCAGAAACGAAGACTTTTCTCCTGGAATGGAGGAATTACTAACTTTTTCCTTTTTACACAAAAATGAATCAAAAGAGAGAGAATTTAGCATGAAATTGGCTCTGAGCAAAAGAATAGGGAACATGACACCCACACTAATTTGAGCTTTCTCTCATGGCAGGCACTGTTCATAACACTGAATATGTCTTCCTCTGGACCACTTGTTCTTGCTCACCACGGTGCAAACGCTACCCCGTATTCACTGATAAGTGACCCGCAGACATTTTCTCAAAAGAAAGAAGCTAAATGCTTGACCTGAACTAAAGACAGAGACCATTTCTAGCACCTATGGCGGATCCTAACAAAACTGGAGTGCAGGACGGTTGCCTCATTTCTCACTCTTTCTCTCAACAAAGGCATAGACGCTGTTATAACCACCGCTGCAGTTGGTAGAAACACTGCGCTTGCCAAGATTCATTAGTTAATATTTTCAGTCTGGCATTTTGAAAATGTAAATTGCTATACAACTGTGATTACTTTCAGCATGTGAAATAATCTATTGCCTGATGGCTACTATTGTCTGACTGCATGATTTTATGGCAACACGCTGGTATTTATGTATCCCATTTAATATTCTTCTGAAGATCGCATCTAGTTTATGTTTACTCCCAGTAATTCAGTGATGTACTTTTGCTCCCATTTCGCAGCCATATGGTTTGGTACTACAGCTGCATTATAATCTGGATTCCTTTCCTTTTGAACATCTACATTATGATAGAAAAAATCCAAATATTTCTACAGATACTTAGCAAAATTTAACGATAAATAAATAGATGTGACATTTACTGTATTCAGAGTGAAAGATCTTTGGCAGCTAAAACCCCTAAGCTGTCACATATGCTTTTCTTAGCAAAGGGTATGAAGATCTGTATGTGTAAATGAGGTTCTACTTTGGCAAGAATTTTATAGATCCAGCCCTGACAACCTGATTGCTCTCCAGCTGATGGCAGTTAATATTGACCATGTCATTACTTCTCTACTCTTATTTTATCAGGTAGCGCTCTAGGGTGGCTTTTTGCATCTATTGACATTTTCAGATTTCAATCAGCTCTCTTCTATTTTATTTACACGAGCCAATTGTTCAAGATATGTTTGCAATCTGATCACCTCCCGGTGTAGTAATGCTACTTTAATTAACCACATGCTCATTTGCTGAATAATAAAGAACTCAAAACATTTGACAAGTGTATGTTCCTCTTAGTGAAAAGCTGCAGAATGCAGAAATGCTGCACTTAACAATATTTAAGTGCTAACATTTATTTTGTGCAATACTGAGTACCACCTCATAGCAACATTTGTATTAATATTTTTGATGCCAAGACACTTGAATGGAATGAGCTATACGAACAGCAGTCAATAGCAAGAGCCTGTAAAACAATCTTTCCTCTCCTGAAAAGTAACATCCTAAATTTCCCTGAAAATAGCTTGTGTGATGATAGCAATTTCACACACTGTCACAGGAAAAGATCCATATTTATTATTTTTTCTTGAGTAGTCTAGCCCAGCTGAGACCAACCAAGATCAAGGATTCACTGTAGCAAACTCGAGTGTCCAATTTAATTTTGCAGAAGGTAGAATTTAATTTTAATTGTGATCTGTGAGCCAAAAAATACATTAGAGATAACGCACTCTCCAGTCCGTTGAATTCCCACCAATTTCAAGGATGGGTCTGAACCAGAGATCCATGGCAAAATAGGGTTAGTTTTCTTTTATCGTCATCACTACATGGTGGCAGCATCTCTCCACCTTTATAGTCACTGTTAATTCACTTCTCTGTTGTTCACTACCCTTTATTTTTCTTCTCCCATTTTCTTCTTCTGCATTTTCTCTTCTACAACCACTTTGACTCCCCCCAGAAGCCATAACCCAATGCAATATCTTGCCCCACTTGAGAACATGGGAAACAAAAGGCAAATAAATAGTAAATACTGGTGACGTATGAGGTCACTGGGAGACACAGAGCTTACGCCGCTGAAGTTGCCCATAAACTCAGGAAAACCATGTTGAAACAAATGTAATGTTTGATCTCTGGAAGATTAGTATCAGAACCACAGACGTTAAAAACCCAATAAGCACTCATGATTTCCAGCCTTTATCCTGCTGGGATAATGTGGCCATGCTGACGGTGCAAGGTCTGGCAGGAGAAGCCATCGCTTGAGAGGCCAGGCAGCTCTCGGCTGGTCGGGACACGGCTGCCTCCTGCCCATCGTGTCCCCTGCTGCTAGTTGCAAGAAAGAAGCTGTAAGACAGAGCCTATTACACTAACCGGTGCAAAAGGAAAGTGTTAATTTGGACCTGGAATTTTCTATTCATGACCTCCAACACCTTGCCCTCAGCCAGGAGCATTAATTACCCAAGCTGCGCATGCTTACTTGTGGGCAGTTTGTTGGACCTCTGGTGAAATACATACCAATGCACTCAGTACTCTTAAATGGTATCTGCACTGATGTTACCTGAAGACAGCTCTGACCTTCTCTAAGAAAAGCAACAGATGTAGCTAAATGCACATGGAATATGCTTTTCCTTGCACTTTCTTCAGTCCAAAGGTTAACCTCCCCCTCCAACTTGAAAAGAATAGATTTCAATGACTATAATTCTTTTAGTCGATTGAAGGGACTAATGGAATCCTATAATGGCTAATTAGGAGCCTTAACAGATATTCTGTGCTTACTTCCTTTTGCGCCATATACTTCTTCCCATCCAGAAACCAGAGTGACATTTGATATGGCCTGTATGATGCTTACATTTTGCAAGATCCACACATTCTTGAAAGAGAATAAGGAAATGCTTTAATAACATACCTTCACCTCTAATACCACAGACATAATTATTGCTCTTCCTGGCTTGTATTTAACCATCTGTTGTATCAGTGTAAGTGAAATGATTCTGGATTTACATCATTACAAAATAAGAGTTGAATCTGGCACCATACTGGTATGCTCAGATTTTGTATTACTCAGAGAAAGAAGTAAGACTAGGTGAAAAGGGGCAAAAGTCTCCAACACTTTAAGATAACTACAATTATACAAATACAAATATATAAAAAACATTATTAAAAGCAATGTAATTTATAATAAAATCATTTACAGTCAGATACTACTGAAGCTGATAGATGGGGCTATCTTTGAGTACTATCCCAGACAATGAAAACTTCGGTGGAATTCCCATCTTCACTTGCAGGTCCAAGTATCTGAATGGAGTATCACAACTACAAAACTTAAGGGGAGCACAATGCAAATTAGATTTCCTGCTAAAAAAAGGAGAATGCCAAGAAGAAAGGTTTGTTTAGAAAGGATGGAAGAGGAAAACCTTCACTTACACCTCATTTTCTAAGAAGTGGCAGCAGACAATGCAGAATGCATACGCTTTTTTGGATGACAGGCACCTTCAAAAGAAGCCCAAAGTATGCAGAAGCAATAAAGTTAGGACAGGGTTACATTTAAAGTTTGGGCAATTAGCAATCCTACCAGGAAGGATTTTCCTCTACCTCTCACTTAAGAAGCTGCCTTTGTAATGTTAAAGCACTAGAGGCCAATTGCAAAAGAAAAATGGAATACTGTATCAGAGATGGCATTTCCACATAATAAGATCTAGGACTCACTTTGACTCATTTGTAGCCTGAGAGCTCACTGGTTGGTTTAGGGGTATTGGAGTGGAATAGACAGTTTTGAGTCAGCAATTAATACAGAAAGTCAGAAGCAAAGCTCTTCTTCATATTACCTTGCCCAGTTTGGAGTTTGGCAATCTCTGAAGGCTTTACATTTGATGTGCAGAAGACTTGGTACGAAGATTCTCCCATGTCTTTCACAGTGTGTATAAATTGTTTTTCCAACTACTATCTTCTGCACTCTACTAAATCCAATATACTCCTTATATCTTATGCCTTAATTTAACATGAAAACTTATTCCACCTCAGTCCAACAGCCATTCCATACATACTAGATAGAAGGAAGGCTTGCAGAGCTATAGCAAAATCCTGCCTTTACATGCAGTACTGCAGGAGAAGTAACTATGAAGAAGTAACTATGTGGAGTGCAATTCCAGCAGATTCATGTCCACAGCCAGTAATGGGGCATTCAGAGCCCAAATTTAAATAGGATCCATGCAGCTGTATCAAGCTATATCAGACTGCACACCACGCATAGGGATATAAAGCCCCAATATGTCTGTATCTGGTGTGTCTCTAGAAAAGCAGCTGATCACAAAGAATAATGCAAAGATTAATAGCACACCCTTGGGTGAAATTTGGCCCCAGTGGAAGCCGAGGTTATTGAAAATGTCCCATCAAATTCATTGAGGTCAGGCGTCCACCTCTAGAGAGAGGCTTAGAAAAAGACCTCTGTATCTACAGACTGTAAGCGGACTCTGAAATGCGCACATTTACAGGGACCAAAAACTTCACATACAGCTCAGATTTTGGCACTGATTGAAATTGAAATGTTTAAGCAGGCAACTCCACTGCCAGCTCGTGCCCTAACTCACGCCAGTACTTGACTCTACAAGTAATCCCACGCATAAAAATGGGAGGTGCCCCACTTTCTTCAAAGGATTTTAGACTTAATGCATTTGAATTACACATATTTATACAGTCACAGCCTTTAATTCTGCAGCACATTGGCTTTTCTTGCTTTACTATTTAAAATAAGGATGCAACTGAAGCCACTGTATTTCATTTGGAATAATTAATTTTTCTTACTGATCACATTGCTTGCTGCATTAAAAAAAAAGCCAGGAATATAAGAACAGTTTTATTTGTATAACATGAGTATCAGTCGATTTATGATACAACAAAGTCATTTAAAAACTCTTAATATTGAGAAGGTCTTTGCTTTCTGTGGAGTTCGTACCTGCATACATACTAAAAAAGCAATACAGTAGGTTTGGATGGAATAAGCAGTGCAGTAGGAGCTCAGAGCACTTGCTGAAAGTGCTCTATAGCTGGCATCATCTTGAAGCCAGTGACCTCATTAATTTAGAGAAATCATAAATTTAAATTTATAATCTAAATAAATGTCATTTAGATAAATGAAGATAAATAATAAATTACCGAGAGTTGATTAGTGGGGATACTCTTCCTCATTAATGAAGACATTTTTGTAATTATTTGTTTAATCAAGCATTGTTTTTAATAAAAATGTCTTTCAGTGTGAAAAGACACACCAAGCTGTAAGTACACCTGAGTGTCCTGAAGAGGAAGGAACTCTGAAAGAAGAACACAGAATCTTTTTCTGCAAGATAATTACTGACTTGGTTATAATCAAGTCAAATGAATACAAGGGCAAATTTCTGATAAAGGAGAGATGTGAAAAAGCAGAATATGAAAAATCACCTGTGTAATACTGTAGCTACATTCATCTCTCTTGCTTCAAGATCTTATCTGCTACAATGCTATTAGCTATGTGTCAGTCAGGAATATAAAGATGTTAACGATAAAATTTTATATGTGTCAAAATAAGAGCTCAGTTTAAATCTGCTTGTACAAATCTTAGATCAGGCTATCATTAATTATAAATGCAATAGCAATATACTTTTTTTCCTTTAAGCAAAAAACCAATTTCAATCCAAGAGAATGAAACAATGAGAATTTTCCATTAGCACAGACATTAAACATGATCTTATTTGATACTGCCTGCTAAGGAGCACAACTCCAATCTCACACATATCCATTCTCTGGTCCCAGCTGTGCCATTAATTACATATACTTATTGCATTTAAGGTTCAAGCACATGGATGTGCAACTCTGGAGCTCTCTGCAGTCCAGCATGACAGCTCTCTGAAAAGGATCTGTTCACGTTCCACGTGGCCACCATAAAAATGTGTTTGGGTGATTCAGTAAACACACGAAGCCTCCATTACAAGTACCACTATTAGATTGCTACCAGGAGCTCTTCTGTCCAGTACAGGAGCAGAGCTGGTGACACAGAAAAAAGGAAGGTGAACGTTCCTTAAAATATGTTGATATTTTCTTGGCTCCAGAGGACGGCTGTTTGCAATACTGCATTCATGAATTTAATTGAAGCTGAAGAGAGGCACAATTCACAATATGGTGCTGGAACATAAATCCGCAGGGAGCAGAAAGCAGGCGAAGTCTTAAACAGCTGAAGAACACTACCTCTGTGCTCAGAGAAAAACTTCATGCCCTTGAGAAACAAGTCCTCAGCTGCAGTTAGCACGTCCCTCTGTACCTCAGCAGTCCCTAGCATGGTGACTTACACAGTCACAGTCCCTAGCTCTGCTCCTCTGCCTTGGGATGCACCTTGAGACAGCCACATCTTAGCGAAAAACAGTGAGACACCAAGGCTCAGCTGGGAACCTGCAGTTTCCTTGTCAAGTGAGATATCTCTTAAGAACTATGACTGTGTTTCTCCCACAGATTCTACCACTAGTTATTTTAAATATACTAAATCAGAAGCTCAAATACTAGTAAAAAACAAAACAAAGCAAAACAACAACCCTAATTTACTGCAATGCAGTATGCAATGTGATCCAAGCACTGGGAAGTGCTTCTGAGTCTTGCAGTCTAGACACTGCTGAAAGGACTGGCATCACATCTGAGACATTTTACTTATATTAAAAATGGTGAAAGACATCTGGAACAATATGCTAACTGAACCAGCTGCATGGGCCAGCCGCTCTGTTCTTTACGAGCTGTGTTTCTTTGGACTGTTTTTATTTTAATGTAGAATTTTGAGCTTTGCCTTGGTGTCAGCCCTCACCTATCTCTGTATGGATCTCAGGACAAGTCCTGCTGACAGCAGAGCCTCAATGCCTGTCGTGCCCATGGGCTGGGAGACGAACCTGGAAAGCCACAGCACGTTCCAGAACAACTCATGGACCAGAGCAGAAATGCTCTGAACAAACGACAGGGGGAGGTTGTAAGAAGATTTGGTGCTTATTCCAATGTTTGATACTATCTACGATACACAGAGGGGCACTTCTGCACTGCTATCATGGAGAAGGTTTTGCAGTGAGAACAAAGGAGGACTGATGGGAATGTCTTTTGTTTTGCAGCATGTAAAACATACAGATTTGCAGCTATGGTGCTGCTGCTATTCCTATTCAACTCCACCAAAATGGACCAAGTGCAGCTGCAGCCCAACTATGAAAAAATAAACAAATGGGAACAGGAGCTGGTTTGCTGAGGGAGATCTTGCCCAGACCAAGTGCTGAAGATATCCATACAAAATAATGTACAGGTTGCCAAAATGAACTGGGTATGTTGGGCAAAGAAAAGGGACATAGAGAAATAATTTTGTTTAGCTGAGTTGTAGGGATGGTTCAGAATTCTGCCATTGATTATAGGTATGTCAGACAGGCACAACACTTGCGTGAGTTTACATTTACTCCTCAGCTGCAATATCCAGTGGTTGACTCGGTTGATGATGTCTCCTTTGTCCCACGTTTCTCTAGATGAAGTAGTGTAGATAATTATGAATAATGATAATGATTTGGGTCTCAGAGCAAATTCACACAGCTAACCACATGCCTATGGGTGATGTGGTTTCATGCACAATAATCAAGCGTGTATGCCATGGGAAGTGAAGTAGATAATGAATAAAACCATTCCTTTACAAAAAGACTTTTTAGATTTTGGATCTGAGAAGTTGTGCTGTGTACCTCCTGGAGGCAGCCAGCAGATTGGCTTTAAAGTTCATAGATCTAAGGAAATAGAGGGTATGTGTAAGTAAGAATAGAATGTAGCAAAGAAAAAAAGAATGAAAACTACTTCTGAGTATGCCAGCAATGTCCACAGGGCAGAGCAGAGCAGAGCAGAGCAGAGCAGAGCGGAGACACCAGCATCACCTCCAATACCCCTAAAGCTGCTTCAGGACATCACTGTGCCCAGGATCACGTATGGGCCCAGGATGAGCCAACCCCAACCTGCCCAGCAGTCTCCAGCTACATCTCCCTGCATGCTGGGATAGGCCCTGGCCAGTTTGTAGATGTCTTTAGGCACACTGCTCTGAATCGCCACCAGCGTTTCTGCTTGCACATAACTCAGAGTAGAAGTTGGTCCACTGAACTGTAGGTGGTAGATGCATGGTTCCACAAGGATCTACTCCAATATCTTTTTTAAGGTTGTATTGTCTAAGGTTTCACAAGCTAACAAGATCACTTCAAAAAACATGCTTTTGGGGAAATGCCACTTATATTTTAGTGTTGTAATCCATGTAGCAAAATAACACTTTCTCACATGCTTTGGCAGCTTCCACCAAAAAATTCCAAGGGCTTATCAATTCATCAGTTGCAATTAGTTCAAAGGAGAATTTTGTTATTTAATTTTTTTGAAGAAGTTTCAGTGGGCGGCCTATGCAGGAGCAGCAGCTGATGTCAGAGAAGAATATCATTTAGCAGTGAGAGTACTGGGGGAAAAAGGTTTCTTCTGGATCTCCAAACATAAGAAGTGTTTAGGAGACATTATTTTCAGGAAGTGTCTCCCACCTTTGGAAAAAGGCAACATAGCCGGAATTTATGTTTACTAACTTTGAGCCTTATTATAGGCCAGCAGTACAGGTAGCAGCTAATAAACAGGGAGGCACTTCCAGAAGGCACTTCCTTCCACGGTGCTCACACCAACAATGTAAATTACAGAATATGACAAGAAATTCAGAATACCACCTTGAAGTGACAAGTACAAACATCTGATGGGCTGAGGTCAATCCAACATTTTGGGTACATTAATCCCGTGCATGAAACTAAGCAACATCAAACAAGTCAGTGGCTGCAAAGGCCATTATAACACCGAGCTGTTCTCTGTCATCACTGCTTAAAGGAAGCTGGATCCTTGATAATTCCCAGTGGAAATGCCTCATTAATAGAATACAGTGCTAAACCCTGCAACCAGCTTTTCTCTCGACATAGCCGAGGGGAGAATTTGACCTTTGATAACTTGATTAATACCAAATTAACAGATGGTTTTGAACTTCACTCAAGATTGTGTGCTTATCCTTGTGTCTTGCTTTCCTCTCTGAGACTCAGCAAACACCACCTCTGCCCACATCAGAAGTGGGGGGCAAACGCCCAGACCTGAAGCGAGCAGTGGAGCTGTGCATTCTTTGTCCCCAGCCCATCCCAAAGGAGAGGTTGGTTTCACTTTGAATGCCATGTCTTGGTGTTTTTAAGAAGTGTTACTTGTGCTTTTGACATTTCACAAAGGTTATTCTGAAATTTCTATTAAAACAACATGGGAGAGATGCCTATGGAAAAGTACAACATTGGTACTCACAGCCCCATTACAAAGCACCTTCTATTGAATGCAGCAGCATCAATACCACTATTTTTTTTTAACACACAATTCATCACAAGCACAACCTTCTCTTTTTTTGTGCAATCAAACAAGACTTAAAATAGCAAAAATATAGGGATTAAGTCCTCCTTACCTGGAATAGGTATGATGGGAATACTTTCATTGGGGACCACACGGGGTGAGCTGCTGTCTTCCACATAGAAATGGGCAGTCTGAAAACACTTTCTGTTAAAGGAGAAAAAAAGAAGAAAAAATGTTCACGGTGTGAAAAAGCCCCAAACTTTTGCACATTTGGCTTCTCCACTTCTGCTCCATACTTGCAGATGTTACAGTTTTAAAACACCAGTAGACAACATATTTGAGTTTTCAACAGTTTCAATTCTAATTCCAGGCTCTGGTGTGCTCTAATTCATTGACAGCTGACATCCACCCACCATAAATGCCACTGCAAATTATTCTGAGGTACCACTGGAAATGAAAGTACACTCACAGAAGTCAGCAGTTGCAAAACAGGTTTCAAATACATCATTCAAAAACTGCACGAGAATCGTTCAGCATACAACTTAAGCCAAATCCACCTAAGACACAACATTTCCAGGCAACATACTTACTTACTTACTGTAAAAGTTTCTGCTGTGTAACAGTGGATAGATGGTAATACAGCATCTTTAACTGCTGCATGTCACAAAAGTTCTGCTGTAAAACTTATCCTTCAGACATTACTATTTGTATTATAAAACACTGGAGCCACATAACCCTCACCCCATCCTCCTCCTGCGAGCTTGTATTACTACAGAAAAACACGACAGACAAATTGCTTGGGCCCCAGGACTCATCACTGAAAAGGCCCATAAAGAATAGGAGAACTTAAATCCACCTGACTTTCTTTACCTGTATTTAATGCAAAGCAGAGAGCACAAGCTGGTCATCACAGAAAAGGTACTGAGCAGAATAACATGAAGAGATCCGAGGAGACTCTGCATGGTGATGTTAACTGAGGCAGGGTTTTCCAACACCAGCGTCACTCCTCATTGCTGACTTAATGAGCTGCTTGAGGCTGGAACTGAATATTTAATGAGCCTTGCTTGGTCTGAGCAGCTATTGTGACAAGAGAAGGGTCTGCTCTCATCTGTCAGGGCGCTTAACAATGGCTTCCCATGGCAGAGAGATGCCCCTCACAGCCCCTAATGAACTGCTCAACACCTGGGCAAAGTTTGCAGGCGACCTCCGAGCTGCGCCTTTTGTCAAGTGTGCTGTTTCACTTGCTGAAGCGTATTTGCATGGAGTGGCTTACAAGTTTCTGCCTTGCAGTCTGCTCCTCTGTAATTTGGGCATTGTGCTCTACACAGAGAGCCCACTCTGCAGAGCCGGCTTTGCTGACATGGTGCAAGCAATTTGTGCTGCCTTTGTTTCCAACATCTATACGTGCCAGAGAGCGAAAAAGTTGCTGAAAAGCAAACCACTCTCTTAGGCAAAACCAGAAGCTAAAATAACCATGGGCACTTGCTTTCTGCTTTCTATGCGTTTGTACTTTGTTCTACACAATCACAGCACTTTATAATGTGAGCACATGCTGCAGCAGCACAAGTACAACTTAAGACAATACAGAAGCAGGAAAGAGCGTCTTTCACAGCATGGAGTAACTGTCTCATAGCAGCTTTCTATTTTCAGACACGACGTCTTGCATTGTGCTGAAGTTAGTTATTTAGTCAGTATGCTTTTGTTAAGAAACACCATAAGGTGAGTTCACACATGAGGATGCAAGATGTGCAGGAGTCTCAGCATTTAAGCACAACAGTTAAACTGCCCTCACCATGCTTGCTCCCCGTTCTCATTTTTTTTGGCAGCCTTTATTTTGGACAATGCACACCCTGGGGGCACACAGCAGAATAAATCAGTCACACAGAAAGAAAAAACTATGAATATGAAACAGGCAAAACGTTCCTGATTTTGATATATTTGGGGCTCTTTCCCTTGAGTCAATACAAGTCAGAAATCCTTGAACTGCTTCTCCTTGTAATGAAGGCCTTAAGAAGGTGTTTGATAAAAGGACAGACCTTTACTTAGGGATTTACAGGATTTTTTAAAGCTGATGATGCTTAAGAAAAGCAATTATTTTTTGTAATTTGCTATTTTAGACTCTGAGAGACTCTGATAGGCGACCATTATGGTTTTTTAATGCAGCCATAAGATAGCTTTTCCTTAATAGCTTCAAAACATGTAATTGTATTGCATAATCACATGGTGTGATACTGTAAAGCCCATGGTGGTGATAGCTGAATACCCAGAGCAGCATATCTCTGCTGAGCACAACACTGGAATAACAACACATTAAATGAATATTTTACACAGTAAAGTTTGCTGCAATCATTAATGTCATTAACAATTCTGTATTTTATGTCTTGTAGACTTTCTGTAGCTGTTTTTGAAAAGACAACCACCACACAATTTGAATAAAGGTTTTCTCAGTTACAGACACCACACTAAAGCACACCCTTATACACACACATCACATAGCATGCCAGATACTGGCACGTTACATGAACACATGAACACAAACATGAAGGCATGAACACATGCCTCACAAACTCCTTTTTCAACCTGCTCACAGCTGCTCTAAGTTCTCCATGTTTACCCCTGAGCTCACTGAACACAGCCTGCAATGTCCACACCCCTGGTGACTCCCCCATTTCTGAGGTTCCCAGTGATGGTGTGAGGCAGCACTGATGGGACTAGGCTTGATCCTGACAGCAGGACCAAGTGGACTAATCTTTAAAAGACCTTTTCCAAGGGGCTCCACAAACTCACTGCATGAGTTTTCGAGCAAGTTTTGCTTACTGGACCTCAGCCTTACTCTTGCACCTCTCCTCTGCGCAGCACCAGGAGGGAGCATCCATCCAAGGGTGCCATGCAGATGTCTCCAAGCTCTGAAGTTTGGGTTATGGCCATCTTTCAGCCTGAATAGCTAAGCAGTTGCCTGGATCCAAGAGGAGCCTCTTGCAAACTCATCGAGTTCGCAGTAATACATACAGATAGCTGGGATCCAATCTACAGGAAGCCATGTCAGAGAATTCAGTATCTGCCTTCTTCCCCGGTTCAGGCTGCTACTTTCTATTTCCTGGCACGATCCTCTGCCCATTACCCTTCTCCATATACAAACCTTAAGTGGCAGCAGTTGCTAAGGCTACAAGGCTGCAGTAAATTTGTGTGTCTATGGGAAGAGCTGCAAAAAAGTACGGATGAGAGCAGAAAATTGCTTGTTTCAAGTCACTGGACAAGCGGCCATGGAGAGAGGTGGGAATGGATGCAGGGCTAGACAAGGTGTAAGTCTACAACTGCTTTCATGATGAGCTCTTCAGCTTGTAATTTCTAACCTGTGTGTATACATGTTGGGATGTTTGTGCCCGTGTATCCATTTGCTCAGAAAACCAATAGAGCAGAAAGAAATAGAGTTGTTTTTTTTCTTCCTACAGAAGCAGTCCTTACTGAATGAGCAATCTGGATGTCAATAGCATCCATGATGATTACAATTTTAGCAAGTGAAACACTAATTTTAGAGTAATCCTACAAATTCAGCATTGGCTGAGGAAAAGGAAATCACAGCTTTGATTTTTTACTTCCAAAAGATTTCAGAGCCCCCACATATTTTCTGCACCATACCAAAGAGTCAGTTGTCTGAAATACGCCTGTGTGCAGTGAAGCACACCGTTTTCTCTAGCCCCATATGCTTTTTTGGCTCCTTTTCCCTAGGGTACAATAACTGTGCGAGATTGTGGCGATCAGACACACAATTGTCACATATGGACAGAAAGGCAGAAAGTACAACACTGCGAGATTAGCATCTCCCTGGAGAAAGGGCAAAGGCAGGGGCTGGAGAGCAAAGACAGCTTTAGGGAGTGCATCCCCCTGCCCAGAGTCTTTTTGCAGAGATACTGACAGCGCTTTATTAAAGCAAACCAGCAGAACGTTAAATGCAGAGCAGCAGCACCTTATTATCACACTGCAGGCAAAAAGAATATGCCGAGAGATGGTCCTGATTAGCTGGGTTAGATGCTTGTTCCATCTCCGCTGAACAGAACAGCAGATTAGCTTCAGTGAAAGAAGAGATGTCTCGTGAGATTTTGACACTCCAAAAGGGTTTCCTTGGTTATTAGTTAATAAAACTCAAGCAGCTTCTCCTTTATACTCATCTAAAAGCGAGAGAGAGAGCCAGATCACACCACAGCCTGGAAGCATGGATGCATTTTATTTTCTCGTAGAAGATAATGCCTTTGTGTTTAGTTAATTTTGCCTCCGGTACAAACACACAGCGTGTGCTGCAGTCCATGAGGGCTGGGAATAGCTCGGAGGGCAGCATTTGGCCTTTGCTCCATGCACTCAGCCTTGCAGCATCCCCTGATCCGTGCTGACAGGCGAGGGACCCGCGCTGCCCAGGAGCAGCTGAGGCAGAAGGAGAAGCAGCAAGGGATTGCTGTGGTGGAGCAATCAACTGCCTGCACAGTGGCTCACTGGCATCATCAGAACAGCAGCTGAACGTGGGAAAATATCAAAGAGGAATGCTTTGCTTTCTGGGGACATCCAAGAGCTGTGTCCTTCCTCACACGCAGAAGTGAGTGGCATGGTCATCCATCACTTGCACGCGAGGGATCTGCTCTTTCTTTCCATAGAAGTTTCTGTTGGCTGGAGCCAATGTGTATTCTCTCCCCAAGGCTATACAGATTTATTCTTTATTTCTGCAATAGCACCAAGGAACTCTATGCTCCTGGTTTCTTTGCAGCCACTCTATTCTTGGGTCATTACCTCCTAAAGCATGACCAATTTGGGGCAGATGGCTCAAAAGGGTCCTGGGTGCCTATTCACTGTCATCAGTGCAGGGCAAACCTTGTCCTCTGGGTACACTTCTTCCAGAAACAGCCTCCCACAGATGGGAACTCTGCAGAATGTACATTTGTTAATGAAGAGGTGCTGCAACCACCCCACTTTCACACACAGCCTCTGCCTTGTGGGCAGGACAGACTGAGTAGAAGTCAAACCAAGACCTACAATGGACCTCCGTACCAGGCTGCACAGGACACAGCTCACTCTCTATTGAATGCAACCTGGATACAAGCAATCATCCACCATGCCACTCTATCCCAAGGGGGGCTGCAAGTAACGACCAAATAGGGCTACAAAGACAGGAAATTATCCCTTTCACTACCTCTGTGCATTCATTCTCACTTTCA